CATGAACATCAAGAAGGAATTAGACTCTCACAGAGAAATAGAATTTGTAAGATTTCCTCTTCATAGAAGTGGTCTTTAACTGTTTTAGGGCTCCAAGGTGTTATTCTTTCAGATTGGGCTTGTGATTGACAGAACAGGCATCAGAGTGAACTGTCTGGATTTAAATACTAGCTATTTAAGCAGCAGTTTGGCCACTAATACCATGTGTCTGGAATGAGTTTACTTTGTCTTTTACCTTTCCTCATCTACTAGAGTGGGGCTAAGTAAACCAGTCACTTTGAGGGCGGTTATAAAACCTTTGTCAAAGGAATTCATTTGGGGGCTGGAGAGACAGGCACTGGCCTTGCATGCTGCTGCTTCAGATGACCTGCTTTGGTCCTGGTCCACATACGATCCCCTGAGCAATGCTAGGGTTCATTTCTGAGGACAGAGCCAGGAATAGCCCCTGAGTACCACTGAGTGTTGACTAACCCCCACAGATAAACCCCAGTACCAGAAACACCCTTTAAAAAGAGAACCCATGTGTAGTGTTTTGAATAGAACCAGGTACACAGTCTCCATTGATGATTCAGTGGTTGCTTCAAAAAGACATTCTTGCTTCTTACTGAAATAAAAAGAGTCAGCCGGTGAACGCCATTAAATTGCTGGCACAATACCCATAAGGTATTACAGGCAGTCTGACCTCTATTTGAGTGCTTTTCCATTCGCCAGTCATATGAAAGGATACTTATTTGGGCCTTGCAGCTTTCTGTTGCTCAGTGGTTTAATTTTTGTTGTATTTAAACTCCATACAAAGAAGAGTTAATCTGGGGCTGGAGCGATAGCACAACGGGTAGGGCGTTTGCCTTGCACGCGGTTGACCTGGGTTCGATTCCCAGTATTCCATATGGTTCCCCAAGCATTGCTAGGAGTAATTCCTGAGTGCATGAGCCAGGAGTGACCCCTGTGCATCACTGGGTGTGACCCAAAAAGAAAAAAAAGAAAAAAGAAAAGAAGCAAAAAAAAGAGTTAATGTAGTAAATGATAGAAGAATAAAGACAAGATAGCAAGACAGTAAGACCAGTTGAGTTGCTGTATTAGTATGAAGGAAGTGATATTGGAGAGAAAAGATAGAAAGGAAGAATCAAGAGAAGAACCATAATAATCTTGGGGGGGGGGCAGGTGTGTTTGGGTCATGGAGACCCTTTGTGGTGCAGGGGATGGAACCAAGATAGGCTACATTTAAGACCACCACCTTAACCCCCCTCTACTTTCTCTTTGGCCCCCATAATATTCTTAAACAAGCTGTTTAAAATCATTGTGTTTGTGTTTGTGTGTGTGTGTATGTGTATAAAAGATTGAACACATGCCTCAAGTACATTACCTAATATAGGTGTTAGGGAGAAATCAGGAGAGAATGATGTCTTGGATTGGTTGATAGGATTTTTTTTCTCCAAAAAACTCTTTCAGTTGCAAATATTTTATTCTCTGTTCCCCTTGATCTTTCTAAAAGCTCCCAAATAATAGAAACTACCTATAGAATCTCTTATTTAGGAACTGTACTTAGGAATTATGGTCCCTTTTTTCTTAAGAACAGAGTTAACAGTAATTAGAATTTAGGAAAAAAATCATAATAGGAATTTGTTTTTTAATTCTTGTTCATATTTTATTTTTTTTATTTAGAGCTTTCGTTTTTTAAAAGAGTATATTTTTCCAGAAAACTAGTTATGAAAGAGGCATGAAATAGGTTTTGGGAATTTTAGAGCTCTTAGGTAAAGTCTAAATATTAGGTTTTTGTACAAGGTAGCCAGGATTAATGAGTATACCATTTGTTTAATATATAAATTGATTTGGACATATTTTACACTTCCATATCCATTCTGTGTAAAATTTTTGATGAATTAGTTCACTTAAGACAAGGTTAAGCTTCTCATTTGTATAAAATCTAGTTAGGCCTTTATGTTCATTCCATGGGCAGTGTGTCAAGTATTTGACAGGATTTGGTCTGACAGCTTTCCAGTTATGTAACATAGAAGAGGCTTTAAAACAACAGTAACGGGGGAGAAGCACAAGATTCATCATAGCAGCCTGTGTTGCTCTCCAGAGTTTGAACATTCCTGCCTCTCTGAATTGTGGCAGAGCCTCTGTAAGTAAACTGGTCGTTTACAGAATTTTAAGTTAGTTTAGGTATATTTTAAGGCAAACTATCATAGATGTTTAGAGGTGAAAAGTCCTCAGGAATAACCTGTCCAGTTGTATCATGTTGCTGATGAGAACACAGAAGTCTAAAGAGGGCAAGTAATTGCTTTGGGTCACAGAGCTTATTCATTGTAGAGCTGACTCAGGAACCCAGGTCATGGAATTCCAGCCTCGGTGTTCTTTCTGGTGTAAAAGATGTGATTAGAGTATTAAGTCACAGGATGATTATGGCAATACCATAAAAAGAACTCTTTCTTAACCATGACACTAACAGTGATGTCTAATTTTGCATATTGAGTATCAGTAATTATACAGAAAAGTACATTTTATTGTCCTGTTTCTAACTTTCTAGCCCCAAGAGTGGTGTGATGTTGGCCCAGTTTTTTAAATCAGCCCTAAAACTGTTTCTTCATCTATAGAATGGGATGATGAAGTACCTCCTTGTATTTTAATGTGAAGGCCTATAACGGCTGGTATATTGTCACTTCTCCATACAAAACTGCTTACAGAATTTTCTGATGCGTAATGATTTCTGGCTCTTTTCTCTTTTAAGTAGGTGATCACTTAGCCAATAAAATTGATCATTGAAAGTGATTAGTAATAAAAATTCAAGGACAGATTAGCCAGCTATTTTAGAAGGGACATATATGTGAGTATTGGGAATTATGGAAATATTTCTCATGTTTTTCACATTACTAGTACAGTTATGATGCCATAGTTTATTTTAATTTTTTTGGTTTGAGAGTCATACCTGGTAATACTGTTTAGAAAAATGTTTAATCTAGTATATCAGATGGGGCGTTTTATATATTTGATATCGGTGAATAAAATGTTTCTAAGTAGTGAGTTGAGATTATAATAATGTCACGTAGATGTACCTTGAAACCATTATTATGCTAAGTGAAATAAACCAGATGTGAAAGAATAATTACTGAATAATTACACTTCAAAAATTCCTAGAATAGGCAAATTCCTAGAAAGGAAAATGGTGTTTATCAGGGACTGAGAGAAATAGGCAGAGGGTATTGCTCTTTAATGCTTAGTTTTTATTTTGATAATTAAAAAATCCTGAAAATGTAGAGTAGTAATGATTGGACAGTGTTTTGGATATATTAACTGCCACTAAATTGTACACTTAAAAACAATTGAAAAATATAATTTTTTGTTAATGTGTACCTAGTCAAATTGTGTGTGTGTGTGTGTGTGTGTGTGTGTGTGTGTGTGTAGCATTTAAAATCCACTAAAACCACTAAGCTCTATCCTATTACTGTAACCGTGGATGGAAAAGAAAAACCACCCACAAACGTTGCTTTTTGTTTGTGTTACAAACAAGAGAGAGAGACAGAGAGAGAGAGAGAGAGATTGAGATTTTTAGATGTGAATTGAGAAATAGCTATAGAGGTGCTTGGCAGGCTGCAACAAAGTGTTGATGGTGATGTATAAAATATTAGCAATCTGACAGCGCCAAAAGAAGGATAATGGCACAGGGAAGCTGGGCCTGAGTGATCAGGGAGGACCTCCACATTCCTCTTAAGCGTGGCAGGGGAAAGCCCGGGTATCTGAGGTAGCTTCTCTGCTAAAGTCCTCTGAATCTGAGCTATGCCAATAAGTTCTTGACTCAGGGAAATCAGTTTTCTTAATTAACAGGTCTTTTTCTTTCCTTTTCTTTTTGTTTTGTTTTTGGCCACACCAAGTGGTCCTCAGGGTTTACTCTGTGCTCAGGGGACTATTTGGGATACTGGGGATCAACCCATCTCAGCTGTATGCATGGCACTGTACTTTAGCCCCAGGACTTTTTTTTTTTAGTAATTAAACTAAAAAAGAAGAAAGTGCATTTTATTTTCTTGATTATTTTGAGAGTAAATGGGCCTTACCCAGTGTTGCTTGGGCAGGGCAGGAAGTGCCTGCTCTGTGCTTAGGGATTGCTTCTGGTGGTGCTGGGGATTGAACCAGGGTTGGCCACATGCAAAGCAAGTGCTTTAACCACCTGCACTCTCCGTTCCAGCCTCAGAAGAGTGCATTTTGTTTGTTTTGTTTATTTTTTTGGGTCATATACAGCTATGCTTATGGAAATTTGGTGATGCTTAAGGGACAGTTTGTATTTCTGGGGTTCAAACCGGGTCCATTGTGTATAAGGCAAGTGTCCTAAGTCCTGTACTATCTCTCCAGCTATAGAGTGCATTTTAAACATGACATTAGCATTTAAAAGCCACTAAAACCACTAAGCTCTATCCTATTACTGTAACCGTGGATGGAAAAGAAAAACCACCCACAAACGTTGCTTATTGTTTGTGTTACCACCTTTGTCTAAATGCTCATATTATTTTTAAGTGATAGTAATTATGCTTTTACTCTTTTGGCGGAATTTTTCAGATATTTATATTTTGTTCTTTCCAGCATGGTTAGAAAAATTTCAAAACTCGTGTGTGTGCCCGCGCATGCGCGCACGTGCGCATATATTTGGCGGTGATGAAGTTACTCTTGGCGGTGCTGGGATAGGGGTGAGGAAGCATGTGGTGCTGGAGATTGAAGCCCCGCCTCTTGCACTTGAGGCATGCACTCAGCCCATAGAACTATTTCTCCTGCCCATAAATCAAAATTTAAAAAATCAAGGTACTGTGATTTACAGTGCTACTAAGGATAGAGTTTTTTGATCCCTGAGTGTAAAGCCAGGAGTGATTCCTGAGCACTGCCAAGTGATCCCAAGCACCCCTCTCCCGCCACTCCCCAAATAATTCTCCTTAAAATAAAAGATTGTTTTCTATGAGTTAGGGAAGATAGCATTTTTAGTTGAAATATTTTGTTCATGTTGTTTGGTAAAGAGCATGGCATTCCCCGTGGACATGCTGGATAACTGCAGTCATGAAGAATTGGAAAGTTCTGCTGAAGATTACTTGTCAGATCTTCGGTGTGGCGATCCTGAAAATCCTGAGTGCTTTTCTTTTCTCAACATTACGGTAAGGTGCTTTTATCTATTTTTTTTCAGTTGCATTCATCTATGAGGCCAATATCTTCACATATTTTTATCTTTAAAAATGAACCATTTTGAAATTTGAAAGATTATTTAGATAAGCTGAGTATTCACTTATTAGAACACTATTCATAACATTATGGATAAATGTTGTTTGACTCCAAGGACAGTGATTGAGTTTTAAAAGAATGAGGTTACCACTTAATGTCACTATTGTGTCTTTAAAAGTATAAGTAGTATACTTATCATAATTGAGGTAATCTGATTTATATTTGAAATTTGTGTGATTAGCATGGCAGGGCCTGGGAAGCTACCTGTGACATATTCGATATGCCAAAACACAGTAACAAGTCTCACAATGGAGATGTTACTGGTGCCTGCTCGAGAAGATTGATGAACAATGGGAGGACACTGTGCTACAGTGATTAGAAATTTTTTTTAAAAGTTTTATTGGATCACCGTGAGATACAGTTACAGACTTGCATGATTACGCTTCAGTCAAACAATGCTCGAGCACCCATCCCTCCACCAGTGTACATTTTCCACCACCATTGTTGCCAGTGTCCTTTCCACCACCCCCTCCCCATCCCACTCCCTGCCTCTGTGGCAGGTACAATCCTTCTCACTCTCTCTCTAATTTTGGACATTATGATTTGCAATACAGATACTAAGAGGTTTGGTCCTTGGTCTACTTTCAGCAAACATCTCCCATCCTAGGCAATCCCTCCAATGATCATTTACTACTTAGTGGTTCCTTCTTTGTACCAACTGCCTTTTCCCCCAGCACATGGGGCTGGTTCCAAACCATGGCATGATCCCCCTGACCTTTGAGTTAGAAATTTTTAATTTGTTTTATTTTATTTTATTTTGCTTTTTGGGTAACACCTGGAGATGCACAGGGATTACTCCTGGCTTTGCACTCAGGAATCACTCCTGGCGGTGCTCGGGGGGGGACCATATGGGATGCTGGGAATCGAACCCAGGTCGGCCACAGGCAAGGCAAATGCCCTATCTGCTGTACTATTGCTCCAACCCTGAGATTAGAATTTTTCTAAATCAGCAAATTACTACGTTTTTCGTATCATGAGTCTTTTACTAAAATCTTAAAGTAAAAATTTACAACAAGTAAGCTGCAGTATATTGTGATAGGAAGAATATTAGATTTGGCACCATCAGAATTACAGTGCAGGTTGGAGAGTTGCTCAGAGGACTGCAGCCTACAGCAACCCAGGGGTTGATTCTCAGCGCTATATGCTGCCCCAGGAGCGATCCTCACTCAGCACCATCAACAAAGCATAAGAGACAATGCTACGTGAACCAGAGTGTAGACAAATTTTATAATTCTCTAGATGCCAAATTTTCCTTCTGGAAAAAGGCACGAATTTCAATGATTCTACATATACAGTCTTCTCCGCACCCATTTTCCATAATGCTCCAAATTGTAGCATTGTTCTGTAAGAGAACAGTGTCGGACTAAGAAAGGCAGAAAAAAATTATTTGCATGTATCTCATACATTAAATACATTTGTCTGGTGTCTTCTGCTGGAAGATGGAATTTTTCTTTATCAGGTGGACTAAATCAGTGTTTCTCACCTTTTTTTTTGTTTTCACTAAGCATGTTCCCTTCAGACCTTGTTTCCTGGCTGTGGCCCCTTTGTCGTGCAAGTTGGCCCCTTAACTTAGATGTATGTTGTGGTCTCTCATTTATGCAGTTTTCACATGTAGCTCCCTTGGAACGTTCTGGGGACGCATACATATCCCCTCCCCCTTTGAGAAATGATAGACTTAATAGATGAAAATTATAATTATTTTGTAATGACTTTATGGACCATGTTATACTTTTTATTTATTGTATTTATTTTTGCTTTTTGGGTCACACCTGGCGATGCACAGGGGTTCCTCCTGGCTCTGCACTCAGGAGTTACTCCTAGCGGTGCTCAGGGGACCATATGGGTTGCTGGGAATCGAACCCAGGTCGGCCGCGTGCAAGGCAAACGCCCTACCCGCTGTGCTATCTCTCCAGCACCAATGTTATACTTTTTAAACATTTTTTTTATAGATGACCCTGTGCTCAGGCTAGCAGTGCTCAGAGACCTGCAAGACCACACATGGAGTCATGGTGGGGGTTGGCAGTTGTGCAGGCAATCAGACTCAGGGCCTCACACATGCCAGGCATGCGCTCTACCACTCCAGCTACTGCTCTGGCCCTAGGTTTCTGTTTTGACTCAAAGGTATAACTAGCATGCAGCAATATTAAGTGAAATAAATGTTTTCCTCCCCAAAGATAATAAAAAGTCTTTCTTTTGCATACTAGAAACACTTCTATGGAATGTAACTAGCATTAGTCTAGGACATTTGATATATTGATAAATGATGATGTTTCATCCTGTATTTTCTTCCAGCTCTTCACTGATCTTTCATCAATTGTCGTTTCAGATTCCCATTAGCCTGTCAAATGTAGGCTTCGTACCTCTTTATGGTGGCGATCAGACCCAGAAAATCCTCGCTCTTTTTGCTCCTGAGGACTCACTCACAGGTCTCTCTTTCTCTCCTCCCTGCTTTTTTTTTTTTTGCATTTAGCCTTTGTGTGTGAGTGTGTGTGTGCACGCGCACATGTGCGTTTGCGCATGTGTATATCTATACATCTTGATAAAATATTCTTTATTGCTTATGATTAAATATTTAATGGGTGAAATAGCGTAAAAATAGTAGAAATGAGGCTGTATGGGTATAACTAAGGGCACCTATGTAAATCTTAGCAAATGATAATTGGTCAAGCTTTAGACCTCTATCTTATTAGCCTTCTATTCTGTTCCAGCTGTGGCACTTTATCTTGCTGATCAGTGGTGGGCTATTGATGATATTGTGAAAACATCTGTTCCTTCCAGAGAGGGGCTGAAGCAGGTAACAAGATCCTGTCACTTTAAAACTCTTTCCTATGTGGCTATTACAATGTGTTTCCCAGAAACAACAGTTTTGGAAGTCTTTGAGTCTTTGTTCATTTGGGAGGATTTACTAGCTTATATTAAGCCCCCGAAGTTTATTCTTAAGAAACTGGCACTCATACTGGCACGGAGGTGGGCTCTCTTCAATTTGAATGTGGTTTCGAAAGCACCTGGCAGTTGGATGAGGGGAGTGCACAGTAGCTCTTTTCCTGTCAGCTTCAGCTTCTGATTATTTTGTGGGCTATGAACACACGTGTTTTCTCTGTGTGGCTGCTTCGCTTCTCTGACTCCAGGAGATTCTGACCAGCACTTGCCCCTCAGAGGGGCCATCTCTGCAGTGGTGAGTCTAGAGGCTACAGCCCTGTGTGAGTAGGGTGCAGGGCGGGCTTCGGTCCTATACCACACAGCTTCCTTTCTCTGTCCCTGCCACCATTTTATAGGGTACTTAGAGGAACCTGTGTGTGCCTGCTGGTGTTGCATTTTATAGTGCTAAACGGGAGAAGGAATCTGTGAAAGTCAATTAAGAAACAAAGAGAAGGATCTGACATGATGAAAATAGGGATAATATATAAAGTACCACCCAAAGGGCAAAACTAAGTGAATTGTACATGTACACCATGAAGATCAAACCAAGTTGGCTGCATATACATATATGTATATATACACATACATATATACACACACATATATATATATATACACATGTATATATACAAACATATATACATGTATATGCTGCCAACTTTAATTATATACATTATATATACTAGATTTAAAGAAATAGGGGCTTTCAGTTAAGTTAGAAGTAAAATCATGGTTAAAATCTCCTATAACAACCTTAAGGTTATACAGAAAAGCCCCATTGTCTTAGCAGTATCTTCACTGTTTATGCCTGGACTACTTGCTTACCTGAGGTGAGGAGAGGTGTGAGAAACCTGAAGCAGAGTCGAGGAAGCAGACCAGTGCCATAGTGCCCCAGCCGAAGGAAGCGGTCTTTCCCTTCCTTTGCACTTAGGCTTAGCTTTGGTGTCAAAATGATGGGAATACTTTGGCTGCCTTCAGATTTTTGTGTAGGTTTTGTCTTCAGAATATCAAGGTACAATCTTTGTACCTTTGCTCAGCATGAGGATGAATTTTTTTGTGTTGGTGAGAGCTGTCCAAGAAAGCCAGTTAGCTTTGCCTTTTCATGTTTTATTTGTTAGAAACCTTGCTAGAAATCTAGCAAGGGACGTTTCTGAGAGTAGTAAGTATGTGATTAGTGCTTTTGTTTTCTCCTCACCTTGGGTAGGGCAGCGTTACTTTTAAGTAGACTTGTAGGAAAATAGACCTTACAGGCAGAATTCTTACTTAAGCAAAATAAAGATGTCCATGGAGAAAAGGTCTCCATTTGCTGTCAGGATGTAGCTGAGGTAGGAAGGGTTGCTCTCTTTCCATCTAGAGAGTGCTCCAAGAGTGTTTTCACTAGGCTTCCCCAATGCATTGCCCTCATTGGATCCGGAAAGATGACAGCAAGCGGTGGAGCAGCAGAGGAAGAGAGGGGGAGAAGGGAGATAAAAGAGAGAGGAGACAGAGAGAGACAGACAGACTGACTTATATAGCAAAGCCTGATTGTTAAAAGAGCATTTTACCTGAAAAAGATGAGGGAGATTCCTTTTCTCTTCTTGGGCAGGAGTGGGGGGGGGGGGGTCTTTGGGCCACAGCCAGTGGTGCTCAGGGCTTACTCCTGGATCTGTACTCAGTTGGCTCAGTCTGCTACGTGTGAGGCAAGCACCCTACCCCCTGTACTATTGTTCCTGCCCCAAGACATATTTCTTTTCTAAGAACATTGTTATGACTTTACTCAGCAAATGAAGGATTCGTCCCTAAAGACTTTAGGGGATAACACAAAACCATCCCCCATCTTTTTTTTTTTTAATTTAAATGTGGAAACTGGAATGGCCTAATAAAGAACTGAAGCACTAGCGATAGGGAGTACTGATTAGAGTAGGGCAGACCCCTGGGGTACTGGAGACAGAAAGAACACCCCAGGCACTAAACAGGAGATGCTGGGGGTTGATTCCTTGGGAACCCATTTTGCCTTTTTTTAGAGTTTTGCTGACAGGCAGTATTCTGTGTGTACTGACAGGCAGTATCCATGTGTCCATAGAAATGGATCACTACTGATAAGAACGATCAGTCTCATTTCTGTGTTTTATTAAATGTATGTGAATAATTTTGGATGTGTTCAAAGTGTTTTCGATGCCCATGTCAGGTGAGCAGCGCCTCAGAATGGATACACGTTGTAGTTACTCCCGGTGTTTGACTCTCTTTGTAGGTGAGAACTCTTGGGGAGAGAGTGGTTCTGTATGTTCTGAATCGAATTATTTATAGAAAACAGGAAATGGAGAGAAACGAGATCCCATTCCTGTGTCATAGCAGTTCTGATTATGCTAAAATTCTTTGGACGAAAGGAGAGGCCATTGGGTTTTATTCAGTTAAGCCTACAGGTGAGTCTTCAAAATTTATTTGAACTATACTTTATGAAAACCTTTTTAGATCTCAATTACTATCTCTAGAGTTAATATTGAGATGAGTTTACCTAGTATTAGAGAGGGGGATACTTTTAAGTCTACCATTCTCTGCAAATGAGAATTGATAGAAAAGTCTCTTGAGGAAAACCAAAATACAAATAAAAAATGGACAGATTCCCCCCCCCGCCCCAGTATGTCCACAGGACTTGTAAGTCTTGACTCTAGTCTCTTTTTCTCCCTACCATTTCCTTCCCATATTTAAAGGTTGTTGTTGACTTGAATTTTTACTGTTATCAACAGTACGTATTCCTTCTGTACACCTAAAGGTCAAATGCATTGCATTTTTCTGTTTAGTGTAGCTGATTCAACCTGACCTATTAAAGATAGATGTGTTAATTACGTGAAAAACTTCAGATACTCCAAACAGCCTTGAATTCATCAGTTTTCTGAAATTTGTATGTCTGATCCTCAGACCTAACTATCTGTACCATATTTCTTCAAGACTGGCTCAGCCTTACCTTCCTTTCCCAGTTTCTCTGTTTTGTCCAGTGTTCCGGAGCTACTGGGCAGAAAGATCTGACCTAGTTACTTCATATAGACACCCCCACCCACCCCACACCTTATAACACCCAGTTAGTTACACAGCTGGTCTAGTCTGGTTTCATTGAGAAGGCTCACATTGTTTTTATGTCTTTTCACATTTTAAACCTCCCCAACTTAGATCTTCTTATCTAATCTGGCTGAAAGATAATAGTACATGATTTGAAGAACAGTTATGAAACCTGACTCACATTACTGGTTCCATACCAGTGTTGAGAATTAATTCATGTAGGTCAACAAGAAATGTCTTTTTTTTATCCTTAAGAATAAACACTGGTCTATAGTCTACAGTGATTTTGTTCTTTAGGAAACACTTTGGTTCCCCTTTTACATGCTATTTTCTTGTATAAATTTGAAATGGAATAATACAAATTTCAAATGTAAACTTGAAAAGCAGTAATTTTATAACTTTAGAATGACAGCATTATACATAGAGAGGAAAGTGATGTTTTTTAAATAAAAGCTTTTCGGTGTGTTGTATAAGAGACATCATTTAATGGTTTTAAGACTTTCAGAAATAAGTTTAGTTCAATGATGTGATTTAATTAATTGCCTTATGGTTCATTTTACTGTGGATAATTCCTATGGTAACTGGAGACTTTTTGCTTCTTTCACCGATTCCTTGGGGATTTCTTACTGAAACTAGCTCATAGACACTGGAGCACAGAGAAGTTTATACTTTTAAATTTAGATCTTGTTATAGATCAGTGTTTCTTAAAGTGGGTGATGACTGGAAGAATTGAACTAAGGTGATGATAGTAGCCCCAGGTGCTATTGGGGACACTTTCCCCTTTTCTTTTTTTTTTTCAGGGGACAGTTAGGCCATACCTGCTGGTGCTTAGATTGTACTCCTGGCTCTGTGCTCAGGGATCACTCCAAGTGGTGCTTGGGAACCATATGAATTGAATCAGTGTTGGGTTTGTACAAGGCAAATATTATCTCTCATTTTCTGTCTGTATACTGGTAGAAGATAGATTTCCAGGAGACACTGGGTACTTTTTTTTTCTTCCTGCAAAGGGGAAAGTAGTTCAAATAAGTTTGGAGCCTTTGTTTCAGATAACACTCCCATTAAATTTTCAGATAACACTTTCTTCTAGCACTTCTGATTAGAATTTGGTTTTAGGGGCATACTCATGTTTGTTTTTTGTGCATCTGAGGACTCTCGGGTCCTCCTCTGGGGGTCAGCCTTGGTTTTCACTTCTGGCCGTTAAATCATTTTTTATTCTCTAAGTTCAGATGTTTTTTTCCTACCCCTTTTATCACCTTCCATGATTATTGATCGCCTTACAACATTACTATTGTTTTAGCTCTTCTCTGCTTAGAGCACTAATTTTCATCTGCCAGTAACACTATCATTAGACATACCCTGTATTAACTTTTGAATCAATAGGAATTAACTGTGGAAATATCTTTAATTTATAAAAAAAAAAATGCAGGTTTTAAAAAAGTGGTAAAATTGTTCAAAACAGGTAGCAAAAAACTCTGTGATAGAAATATACCTAATACACTTATTGAAAAGAATACTGGGTTTAGAAAGTTAATACAGTGGATAGGATGCTTGCCTTAAGTGTGGCCAACTTGGTTCAAATACTGGACCAGTATCAAAAGATAAAATATTTATCAGATAACTTTGTAAGCATTGAACTAGTGCTTCATGAAGTCACACTTGTGATTTTGATTGAACAACAGATTGATACAATGAGATAAAAATAACCTTTATATAGTTAAAGGGGGCTCTTGTTTATGAAGTTTAGGCTCTTCCAGCTAAATGACATTCAAGACACTAATTTTTTTTCTTTTCTTTGAGGACACATCTGGCTGTGGTAGGGCTTACTTGTGGCTATGCACTCAGGGATCATGCTGGACAGGGTACAGAGAACCATATATAATGCCAGGGGTTGAACCCAAGTCAGCCCTGTGCAAGGCGAACAAACTCCTTACCTACTGTACTATCTGATAGCAGAAGTTTGTGTTGAAGAACTGGGGTTTTAAGGTATGTTTTTTTTTTTGAGGGATCAGCCACACCCTGTAGTGCTTGGGGCCTTTTGTCCTAGCCCTGTGCTAGCTGATCGCTATAGCAGTACTTGGGGGACGGACCATAGGCAGTTCTGGTGATAGAACCAGGGTTAAGCACTTGCAAGGCCAACACAACACCTGTACTATCTCTTCCCTCTCAAGAATTGAGGTTTTGGGGCCTGAGCAATAGTACAGCGGGTAGGGCATTCACACTGTTGACCTGGGTTTAATCCCCATCATCCCATATAGTCCCCTGAGAACTGCCAAGTGCAGATCTAGGATTAGTCCCTGAGCATTGCTGGGTGTGGCCCAAAAGTTAAAAAAAAGATTTGAGGTTTTGTTTTTAGGCTTGGGTCTCTGTAGGTAAATCCCTTTCTTAAATGAGCAAATACATGGGGCCACCCAGGTTACTCTGTGGCTATCCGAAGTGTAGCATTGGGAAATGAGGCGGCTATTTTGCTTCTAGCTATTGTTTTGACCATTTATAAAACTAAATGTTTTTCGGGTTTGAGGATGTAGCTCAGTGGTAGAGCACTTTCCATGTATATGTATATCCATGAGGCTCTGGGTTCAATTGCTGACATCTCAAAATGCTTTTCAAGGGGGCTGGAGGGATAGCACAGCGGGTTGGGCGTTTGCCTTGCACGGGTCCCAGGGGCCACCAGGGTTCGATTCCCAGCATCCCATATGGTACTGCGAGCACCGCCAGGGGTAATTCCTGAGTGCAAGAGCCAGGAGTAACCCCTGTGCATTGCTGGGTGTGACCCGAAAAGCAAAAAAAAAAAAGTCTTTTCAATAAGAGTTCTGTTTATTCGGGTTGCGGGATGTAGGGTTGCCTCTATTCTGTGGAAATACTGGTCATGAGATAAGCTCATACATCAGCAAAAGTTCAGTGGAAGAGACAGAGAACTGTACACAGCAAACAACTAATCATAGCTCATTGAGCAATTGATTTTGTCTAAAGGAAAGTGTTTTAAGAGAGTGAAGTTTATTTAGAAGTGGCTTTGAAGGCTGTCAGGCAGAGAGAGGAAGAAAAACAATTCTTTTTTGGGGGGAGGGGGTCACACCCAGTGATGCTCAGGGGTTACTCCTGGCTTTGCACCTAGGAATTACTCCTAGCGGTGCTCAGGGGACCATATGGGATGCTGGGAATCGTACCTGAATTGGCTGTGTGCAAGGCAAATGCCCTATCCACTGTATTATCACTCCAGCCCTGGAAAGACAATTCTTAATAAAGACAGGAAGAGATTTTCTGTATGAAAGAAGGCAAAAAGTTGTGAAGACTGAAGTTGTGTTTGGAGCTCCCTGTGCCCTGAATTAGCTGGTGGAGACTGTGGGGTGAAGAGAGATGAAGATGGAGCTTCCACTTCATCAGAAATCCATTGTGAGGGGATGTTTATTATTCAAGAATTCTAAAATTTTAAGTAGGGTGATACAGCTGGAGTTAAATTTTTAACCGGATGGTGATTTTAGGGTTGAGTGGCACCTCTGAAGCATGTTGCTATTGTCAGAGATTTATTTGTGAGTCTCTGGATCATGGCTGTTAATGAGTTTATATGGTGCCAGAGACAGTTCATGGGCATGACCAGTAGGCTCCCAGAGGAACAGGGAGAAGCAGAGGTTGCCCATCCCCAACTCCGTGAGAGCCTGGAGATTTCAGTCACAAAACCCATATACCTGAGTTTTTCAGCAGATTGAATATTTTGCTATGTAAGGTATTGGATATTTTTCAACAGATTCATTCTCATGGGTGAGGCTTGTCCTGAGCCTGTCAAGATAAGCCGTGAGCATAGTGGCGATTGGGTTCTGGAGGTTTTCAGATGCTGGGGCTCAGTTTAGGAGAGTGGAAGAAGCATGCACCCGCCTTGGGGGCACTTCTAAATTCCATAAATTCTCCATTTTGACACAGAGGATGGTTTCCATTTTTGGTACAGGATGGCAGGATGGAATGTTTATATGGAAAAATTATTTATGGATTTTTTTTTCACATAATTAGTGTTATATGCCAAACACAGTAATAACAAGTCTCATGATGGAGACGTTACTGGGCCCGCTTGAGCAAATTGATGAACAATGGGAGGACAGTGCTACAGTGCTACAGTGTTATCCTAAAGCACACAGAGTAGTAAACAGCCCAAGACTTTCTGTTGAGAACTAGAAATTCATAGTGCTTTCCGTTATCATTTTTGCTTTGTATTTAAACCACTACTTCAAGGTCATGTATTTTAATTTTACAATAACTTCTAGCAGTTGCCAAGGAGCACTGCTTTCAAGGCCGTGAAAAATGTAAATGGTCATATTTACTTGTTGGGAAGATTGTTAGATTTACATAATAAATTAATGAAGTAAAGCTTTATAAGTTTAATTCACAACTAAAAGTATATGTATATATATTTAAGTTGTACTGCTTAATAATTTCATATTCATTGTGAAATGCTTACCACAATCAAGCGAAAAAAGAAATCTACTGCCTTGCACAGCTTCCATTTTTTTGTTGGGGTGATAACACTTAAAATCTACCTTCTTAACATATTTCAGGCATCAATATTTTTACCTATAGGGCTGGAGCGATAGCACAGCGGGTAGGGCGTTCGCCTTACAAGCGGCCAACATGGCCGACCCGAGTTCGATTCCTCCGCCCCTCTCGGAGAGCCCGGCAAGCTACCGAGAGTATTCGATATGCCAGACACAGTAACAACAAAGTCTCCAATGGAGACGTTACTGGGCCCGCTCGAGCAAATCGGTGATCAACGGGAGGGCCTTTACCTTTACCTTTACCTATAGTTGCTCCATAAAAAGTTTTCACCCTTGGAAATACCCTAATGGAATATCAGCAATCAAAAGCTAAATTCGGGGCCTGAGTGATAGTATGGAGGGTAAGGCTCTTGCCTTGTATGCGGCCCACCTGGGTTCAATCCCTCTCCCTCCCTATACTTTATGGTCCCCTGATCCATGCCAAGAGTGATCCCTCAGCACAGAGCCAGGAGTAAGTCATGTGACTGCTGGGTGTGACCTAAAATTCATAAGAAAAAAAAGGGCTAAAATTATTTATTTATTATTTATTTTTTTATTAGTGAAACACCATGAGGTACAGTTGTAGACTTACAAACTTTCGTGCTTGGGTTTCAGTTATACAATGATCGAGTACCCACCCGTCTACCATTGCCCATTCATTCTTCACCACCAGTGATCCAAGTAGCCCTCCCACCCCCGCCTCCATCCCCCATATCCCACCCCGCCTCAATGGCAGGGCATTCAAAAAGGGCTAAATTTAGAAGGTTCTTGAATAATGTTTCAGTGTTATTTTATTATAAATTGCTGAAAAAGGGGCTGGAGCAATAGCACAGTGGGTAAGGCATTTGCCTTGCATGTGGCCGACCCAGGTTCAATTCCCAGCATCCCATATGGTCCCCTGAGCACTGCCAGGAGTAATTCCTGAGTGCAGAGCCAGGAGTAACCTCTGTACATTACCCAGTGTGACCCAAAAAACAAACAAAAAAATTTTTGCTGAGAAAAAGGGAATCCCGGTCAAAGTGAAGTGATTAAAGGACCTTATTTTGTTGTTATTTGGCTTAAAGCTGCAGTTTCCAAGAACCTATCAATGATGTTAAGTGAGCCATTGCAGCAGTGTGGTGTATAGCACCTAATCTAAGTTTAAATTAGTTGATAATCTTGGAGACTGTTGTTTTTCAATAATCCTTTTTGGTGATTGAAAGTTTTCAGGTTATCATGAACATTTCAAGTTATTTAGTTAAACTAAAAGTCTCGTTAAATTGATCAACACATCAAATGAATTGATTGGTAAAAGTCGGTTTGTGAGATGTTACCTGAAGTTTTGTTTCTTCATATTAGAATTTCCCCAAATCATGTGAATACTCTAACTTATAATAATAGATTCATTTATCTGACATTAAAAAGTATAATATTGACTGATAATGCTGAATTAATATTAAAATGAATAGAATCCCAGTGTGATGCTGTCAATTTATACATGATCTGAAAATATATCAAAGATGATAATAACATCTTTTGGGGAGGATCAGAGCCAAAATGAGGGTTTTTAAAAGACAAATCAGTAGAGAGTCACAGTTTGTGTCAGACTGTTTTCTCTAATTTAAATTTGCAAAATATACTTTAAAGTGTGTTCTCAGTACAGAGATTGTTGACTTAGCCATTTTCATGGCAATATCTCCAGTTAGTCTTTATCATCCTTAAACATTGGAGACCGAATTCATTTCTTTGACATCATTAAATTGAGATACAGTAGGGAAGATGAATATTTAGGTTTGAGGGTTAGAATGAGACATTTCATATATAAGCTATATAGAGTCATTGAAAATCTTGACTTGAAAATACAATGGTGAATTTTAAAGTTACACATGTCAGTAGGCTGATTACATAGTCAGGCTTATTACTCATAAAATATCACTATTTGTCCTGCTTTAAATGATATTATTAGCAGACATAATACATAGCTTAATAGTGGCTTGTATATATTAATAGTGGCTTGAAGCATTTTGTATTATAAAACTTGCATTCAGGGGCTGGGGTGATAGTATAGTGAGTGGGGCATTGCTTGTAGTTGACCCAGGTTCAATTCCTTATGGACCCTCAAGCACCACCAGGAGTAATTCCTGAATACAGAGCCAGCTGTAACCTCTGCACATTTCTGCGTGTGACCCCAAAACATGTATTCACTTATATGTATATACATATATGGGCTTTTTAATGTGAAAAATTTTGGGGTTTCTGTTCCTATGATTGCAGGAAGTATATGTGCCTCATTTCTCACTCAAAGCTACCAACTACCAGTTCTTGACACAATGTTTGTAAGAAAGAAATACCGAGGCATAGAATTTGGGCTTCATATACTGGAGGACTTTGTTGATTCTTTTACAGAAGATGCACTTGGCTTACGGTATCCACTATCCTCTCTCATGTATACAGGTAAATAAATGGTTGTTAAAAATGTTGTACTTGTGGGGCTGGAGCAATAGCACAGCAGATAGGGCGTTTGCCTTGCATGCGGCTGACCTGGGTTCGATTCCCAGCATCCCATATGGTTCCCTGAGCACCGCCAGGAGTAATTCCTGAGTGCATGAGCTAGGAGTAATGCCTGTGCATCACCGGGCATCACCCCCCAAAAAAAACATTTTAAAAAAATGTTGTACTTGGTGGCATTTCTGACTTGTTTCTACAGAATATTATAGGTCTGCACATAGCAATATTTAAGGGTTTTGTATTCCGGTCTGCCTAGGACCTAATTCCAGAGATGAACCCTTATGTATATAATTTGTTAGATGTCTGGTGGCATTTAAAAAGACATTGAGAATATAACTCATGCCATAAAATTTATCCTCTTATGCCACCAGACATGTACAGTTCAGTGGCAATGGGTATATTTGCAGTGTTCAAACCATAGCTCATATCTAATTCCAGAACATTTTCCTCTGAGCACCATATAGGAAAGCTCTCACAATAAAGGAATGAATAAATAAATGTGTACTTAATTTATCACAGTTTTCAACTGTTGTTTTACTATTAAATATGTATTTTTTCCCCCTGTGTTGTCCCTTCTGCTATTGGTTTCATGTATTTTAGTTCATTGTCTATTATAAACCCCCACCGCATGTATGTTTCAGGCAATTATATTTTATATGATTTAGTATTTTTTGGGGGGAAGGGGTATTGAACATAGCTTCTTCTTACCTGCAAGGCTTACTTTCTACCGTTCATCTCATCCCAACCTTAAGACAAATTTTAAATGAGAAGGGGACAGTCCCTCTGATTACCCCTCATGTTGATTATTTTTTGCCTCTTCATTTTTGTTATAATCCAGATTTCCACCTGATGTGATTTTCCTCTCTTTGAGGAATGTCCTTTAACAAGTCTTCAATTATTGTAGTATTTATTTGAAAACTTTTTATTTTCCCTTTCAGTTTGAGGAAATTTTCATAAAATAATTTGGAAGTATTTTGCTGCTTACAAGATTCAACATTAACTGCTTTTCCCCAACCATGTATTTTTTTATATTTGGTTTGCATAGTTTCAAATACTATTTTTTATTAAATTACATCTCTTATCTGTTTAAGCCTAAACACTTCTACTGCATTTTGTTAATTGTATCTTTTTATTTTGTTTATTTATTTGGGGGACCACTCTGGGTAGTAGCAGTGCTCAGGGTGCCCTGCCATGCTGGTGATTGAACCCAGAGCCCTCACATGCAAATAAAGCACATGTCTCTGTTCTATGAGCTGTCATTCATGTCCTGGTTTTTAAATAATTTATTATTTTTTCAGTATCTGGAAATAATCATCTTCTCTTGGTTTAATTTTCTAACTTTTCCTGCTTATCTTGTGTGGGCTTAAGAAACTACTGTCTGCACTTAAAATGAAATTCTCGAGATTTTTGTGGAATCACTTTTAAACTTCCATATTTAATATTTCTAGAAAATTGACATAATATTTTTCTGTTCAGCAGTGTTATTTTATAACATGGATAATTGTATAATTTTCTTCAAATCATCACTTACATTCTCTCCATATCGTTCTTAAAGTTAAAAATATTGTTATGGGAATTTTATCTTCATAGTATCTATTGTGAAGAATGTCTCAATGTTTTTTTCTCACTGGTTGTTTATTACGTGTTTGAGAGGTATTGTCTTACATGTGTGTTGATTTTATATCCAACCACGTAACTAAATACATACATAGTGGTTTCTCGAGTGTTTCAGAGTCTGCCTCTGCTCCTGGCCAGCCTCAAAGCCTTGCTTGATGGCTGCCCAGTAAAAACCATTTCTTCCACATCTTGTACTTTCCCTGAGTTCTTGTGCTTCTAACCAATTTTTCACCTTATATCTCCTGTCTCTTTTGGTTTTCTTTTTAATGCCACTATAAGATTCTTTAGTGCCTGGTGGATAAAATCTAATGACTATTTCTTCTGTAGTAAAGTCGCAGGGACTGGAGTGATAGGTAGGGCACTCACCTTGCATTTGAGTCAGAGTTCCATATTGGTCCCCTGATCATGGCCAGGATTAATTCCCAAATGGGGAGCCAGGAGTAGTCTCTTAGCATCGCAAGGTGTGGCACCCAAACCAAAAAAAAAAAAACCACAAAAAAATACCAAGTTTTTATTTAGAAGCTTCAATTATAGTCACCTTAATTTTATAGTTTTCATTTTGAATTTGGGATTAAGTTTTTGCAGGTTCCATTTAAAAAATATATTGTTGGATTTTTAAAATATTTTATGCAATTTATAGAATTTTTGGTGAGAATTGGTGTTTTTATCCTGTTGACTGACGCTAGCAATCATTTTGTTCTGTTCTATTATGTTTATCATAACATTTTATAGTAATTTTTATTTATTGGTACTTGGGCCGTACTGCCAGGTCCAGGGACTATTTCTGGTTCTCTGCGTAAGAGTGACCCCTGGTGGTGCTCAGAGACCATTTGTGGTCCCCTACACGCACATCAGGCGCTTGAACCGTTATAATATCTCTTCAGCCCTAGGAATTTTCTCTTTAAAGATAAAAAACTTAAAATTTTTTTCTTTTTGGGTCACACCTGGCGATGCACAGGGGTTCCTCCTGGCTCTGCACTCAGGAGTTACTCCTGGCGGTGCTCAGGGGACCATATGAGATGCTGGAAATCGAACCCGGGTTGGCCGCATGCAAGGCAAATGCCCTACCCGCTGTACTATCTCTCCAGTCCCAAAAACTTAAATTTTTTATTGCTTGGTCATGTTAAACTTTTAATTTTAGATTTTATTTAGGATTATCACTCATAAATAAGACTCTATAAGTTTCTTCAATTGTCTTTGTGTTTTTCATTTCACGTGTTATTTTTTATTTCCCTTGATGTTAGTTCCATTAAGGGAACAAGGCAGCTTGCTTTTCAGAACTTCTTTATGTTTTCTAAAACAATATTTGCCATTTCCAGAAAATTCTAAATGTATTTTCCAGCTTGCAAACAGTACTTTGAAAAATACCCAGGAGACCATGAACTTCTTTGGGAAGTTGAAGGTGTTGGACACTGGTACCAGCGAAAACCAATCAGCAGAGCATTACAAAGAGAAACCCTCAAAATTAAAGGTAAGTTCTCAGTTTAGGGGGCTGAAGAGATAGTTCAGGATAAGGCAACAGGCCTTGCATGTAGATGACCTGTGTTAGTATTCAACACCATTAGGAGTGATCCCTGAGCAGTGAGAATTGAGTCAGGAGTAGTGCCCCTAAGCACTGCCAGCAGTTTTGCTGGCAGTTTTCCTGTTATTTCTCAGGTCATGAAAAAACACCTGTTTCAACTCATACTTGGAGCAGTCACCTAAAGTGTCCAAAGATTGAGAAGCGGTTTCTGGATTCAGAGTTTAATTCTCAAGGTGAAGGTGAAAAAACTTCCCAGACTTCACCTGCAGCCAGATGTGACCCCAAAAAGTCGTAAAATATATATTTTTTTCATTTTGAATACAAACCCACCTTTAAAAAGCACTATGTTCTAGTGAAGGGATGAGTGTTGGAATATTATATGACTGTAACCAATCATGAATAAGTTTGTGACTGTGTACTTTGTCCTGATTCAAAGCAGTGTGTAAGGACTGGAGAGAGAACTCAAGGGACTGAGTGCATGCTTTACTGCAGAAGCCCTGGGTTCTATCCTCCCTCAGCATGGCCTGGTCTCCTGAGCTCAGAGCCAGGAGTTGCCCCCGGGTACCATCATTGGGTGTTGCCCAGAAATTGGTGGAAAAAGAAAGAAAACCTATCTAAGAATGGCTGTGTCTTTTACTTTTCAGCCACAACCAGACGCTTGATTTCTTGTAATATGTCTCTAGAAACAGACCTTCTATTCAAGTTTGAATTGTCTTTTCACACTTCAATTAGTGTAAATGGGGATTGTAATTACTGCCCAGCAAAGTAATAGTTCAGTAGGAATTTATGGGTAAGAAATAAACAAAAAATACTACAGCAGCATAGAATAGGCATCAGAAAATCAAAGGTGATATAGACTCATGCATCGCTCTTCAAAGTCACTAGATTTGATAATTTTAAAAGACTTACTCTGTAAGGTTTCAGTGTAAAATTTTCGTGAACAGGACGTCTCACACCTAAATTTTTAGCAGCTTTCTGTCTAGGTAGTTCTTCAAGGATTTTGTGAAAATCACTATAAACAATATTATAGGTACTGGCTTACTTACAGTTTTTGCAATTCTTCTACAACAGCTGTTTCTCAGAATGAAGCTAAAAGATCTATATCTGGAAATTATGGTCTTGCCTGTGTTCCAGAATATGAAGCAGGAACTGAAGACAATCAGTCTAGTGATATGCAACTGACTGTAAGTACACAGTGTATTTATTGTAGGAAACAATAAATTCTGTTTTTTTTAAGGTAGATTCAACTGTTACTTTAGTTTTTCTTATAGATTATTAAACAAGCTTGTATAATTTCTGCTGTGGTAATTTTATTGACATCTTCTGATAACTTAAGAGTTTCTGGGATCACAACTAGCTGCAGGTGAAATCTGGGAAGTTTTTTTACCTTCACCTTGAGAGTTTGTTTTCTGTGAAAAAAAGCAATTTTAATAAAGTTACTAGTATGGTGAGCTAATAGGAATTTGGGAAAACAATAACATAAAAGAAAATAAAAGTCTGTAATAGCAAATATACCTCAAATATAGTAACAATTAGAATTTATAAAACATGTATCTGTTTTACATTAGTTTTATTCCTTTGTGCTATTTCCAACTGCCTTTCTCCATAAACATAATAGAGCAAGCATTTACCATGGCATTAATGCTTTAGAATGATTGTTACATGGTAGCATGCTGTTTATCATACATAAATACTATCATTTATTTATTTTTAACATTGTATGTAAGTTTTTTACTTACAATTGATCTAGCAGTGAGCATTTGCATGCTTCTTCATGTATGTATAATTATATCCTTGCAACTATAAATTTGTATAAGTGTAAGTAGTTGTAGGTGATAGGAGATAGAGTCATGTGGAAACTGAGAGCCTATGTATACCAAAGTACATATACTATGTACTTTGCAAATATTTGATCACCTGAAATTTGATCATCTCCTATTATTGAACTCCAGAAGACTTACTAGCTCCTTTTCTAGAACTCCCTTAATATTGCTTAAAATATCAGTACAGAACATTGTATAACTGAAAGCCAAGCACAAAAATTCATGAGTCTACAACTGTACCTCATGGTGTTTCACTAATAAAAATTTAAAAAAAAATTAAAAAATAAAATAAAATCACTGCCACTGGAAAAAAATAAAAATGTCGGTAAATTGGTAAAAATTCTAGATTCTATTTTTATTATGATTTTTATTATAGTCATAATTTTATACATGGATATACACATATATTTTTAATGAGTGTCGACTATATCACATTTCAGAGACAAGCACTTCGGGAAATTTTCTATTCTTTTTTTCCTGTCTTAATTAGCATGATAATTGAGTGAAAAATCTGAAATATTTTCAAGGCTAATTTAAATAATTTTAAAAAAGTCTAACTACACAGATTGAAGGCTTGTGCTGACTTGTTAGGGAAGAATAAGCAGTGATTTATGATCTAGCTTTATGGCCAAATAACTGATTTTAAAATTTTTTAAATTTTTATTTTTTTTTATAATTTATTTATTTATTGAATCACTGTGGGGAAAGTTACAAAGCTTTCAGGTTTAGGTCTCGGTCATGCAAATATCAAACACATTTCCCTTTACCAATACTTATTTTTCACCACGAAGAACCCCAATAAACCCCCACCCCCCACCCCTCCCAATACCTGTGAAGCAGATGAATTCTAGTTAATACTCTATCTACTTTGACTAGACTTATTGTTTTCGATAAAAGATGCACCATTATTATTTAGAGTTTACACCCCAAATCAGACCTGCTGAAAAAGCATTGTGAAATGATTTGCTTTCTACAGCTGGGTTCAAGAATTAAATGATGTCGCGGGGCCACGATCGCGATTTTGGATTTCTGCTCTTTTACTTATTAACACTGGAAGTATTTCTACTGAGAGTCAGATAATTAAGAGATTGGTTTCTGTGCTCTGGAGTCATGGCCGTGCCGGAGAGACGCTCATGGGGGGCAACTGGTGACCTCGGTAGGGCGTGAAGAACGAGCCAGGAACGCCCCCCCTTCCCATGAGGTTTTAGTCGCCCCTTTACCCCTGGCTCATACCTGCTCTCCACAAGGCTCCCATGTGGCTGCCGTCTTTCTTTCCAGAGAGGAGAGGGCAGAAGGGAGCAACACCCTTTCCCCTCCGGGCAGACATGGTGGCGTGGATTAACGCATAGTCCATTCACTTTTTTGCTCCAAGCTGCTGGACTCTGCATTAAGTCCTTGTGCTTCGGGGCCGTGGCCGTGCCGGAGAGCCGCTCGTGGGGAGCAACTGGTGACCTCGGTAGGGCGTGAAGGACGAGCCGGGAACGCCCCCTTCCCATGAGGTTTTAGTCGCCCCATAACTGATTTTTTTAAATTGCCATTAAGACGGGATTATTTTCAGGAAATAATTCAGTTTGGGATAGGGTGGTTATGAACTTGTTCATTAGGGAGATGTTTAATTGAGAATAAAGCTCTGGAAATTTGAAAAGGTACTTAAATTTGGATATATCAGCAAACAGATGTTGAAGTGTTTAGTAGATGGGAAGCAGGGAAAACACATGGATTGTGAAGAAAGAATAGCTGATCACTGAATACTAGAAAATTACAGAGTACAGCACTCTAGGTAGTATATGTTTTGATGAGGTATTCAGCTTGTAGTAATCTAGCTACAATCTAGCCTTTTTATTGCTTAAATAGATTTTTTCCGTTATTCAGAAATGCTATTTGGAAAATGTTTTTTAAAAAATTTCTTTAATACTGTGAAAGAGATCCATAGGGCGAATAGTTTTTTAAATCGTTTTTTAACCTGTGATCTGTTTTTAGATTGGTTCTCTAAAAGATGCCTTTGCAAGCACTCCTGAAGGTAAGTTTACCTTCTATGTTAGTGTGAAACACTTAAAAATTAGTCTGTGTGAGTGTTTAAAGTGAAGACGTGTCCGTCTGTAAAATCTCTATGGATTCTTTTGTTGTTCCTGCCACTAATTCTGCTGTATAAGTAGAGTAAAATTCTATTTTCTTTCCTCCTTTAAGTAGGGACTTGAATCTCTGCCTCTACCAAGATCATTGAGCAAGAATATAAGTGAAAAACGACATTTTTTTTTAAAAAAAAACTTCAGAGTAACTTAGAATTGTGTGGAATGAATGTTGACAAAGTTGGTTTTTCTTTTCTTTTTGGGTCACACCTGGCAATGCACAGGGGTTACTCCTGGCTCTGCACTCAGGAATTACTCCTGGCAGTGCTCAGTGGACCATACAGGATGCTTGGAATCAAACCCGGGTCGGCCACATGCAAAGCAAACGTCCTATCTGCTGTGCTATAGCTCCAACCCCTGACAAAGTTACTTCTTAATTTAAAGGAAGATACTGACATTGTTGCATTGCCTGGTGTATGTGAGAGAAGGGAAGTATATATAGTTTATGCCGGGGATATATGTAAACTTTCAGAGTTCTTACATTTTAAAGATGCTTTAATAGGCAATCCTTTGAATATGTGCTTAATAGCAGTTTTGCTGTTATTTCTCAGGTCATGAAAAAACACCTGTTTCCACTCGTACTCGAAGTAGTCATCTAAAGCGGCCAAAGATTGGGAAACGGTTTCTAGATTCAGAGTTTAATTCTCAAGGTGAAGGTGAAAAAACTTCCCAGACTTCACCTACAGCAAACAAGTAAAATATTGCTTATTTTATTTTTGCTACTTTATTATTTCCAAATCAGCATTTAGTATTAAATACAACTGTTTTGTTTACAAATGATATGGGTATAGGAATTTGTATTTGAATTCTTCTGCAAGATAATTGATTGTATTTAATAGTGGGAAATGTCACTTTGAAGTAGTATAGGGAGAAGTTACTAGTATGAGAGTGCAATAAACTTGCATTTAATCTTTTCTTGTGTAAAAATTCAGAAGAATGTTCAGGTTATATTCTCCCAAGTCATTATCACTAAGTTTTAATTTTCCAGTAACTATAGTTACCGCTGACATTAGCTAATTAAAAAAACCCTCAAATTTACTTTATAATAATCATTATACTGGATTATTGGATTTAATTTAAAAATTACTGAAAACTATTGACAGTAGTCAATTCTTCCTGAAATTTATTTATTTATTTTTTGCTTTTTGGGTCACACCTGGCAATGCACAGGGGTTCCTCCTGGCTCTGCGCTCAGGAATTACCCCTGGTGGTACTCAGGGGACCATATGGGATGCTGGAAATCAAACCCTGGTTGGCTGCGTGCAAGGCAAATGCCCTACCAGCTGTGCTATTGCTCCAGCCCCTCTTCCTGAAATTTAATAGTCAACTGAATCAACAGAATACTTGTGTCGAAACTCTTACCTCCTTTTGTATTTTTCAATAATAACTTTAAATAACTTGGCCATTTTAATTTATCTCATTTTATTTGGGTTTTTTGTTTGTTTTCTTTCTGATTTTGGGTCACACCTAGGAAAACTCAGGGCTTTGTACCTTGGAATCACTCCTGGCAGTAGTCGATGGGTGAGAGGGTGGCAAGGGGAGGGGGAACCATATGGAATGCCAAGAATTGAACCTGGGTCTGCCGCATGCAAGGCAAGTGCCCTACCTGTTGTATTACCACTCGGGTACCATAGCTTGACCATTTTATTTATTTATTTTTTCTCTTTTCAACTTCTGAAGTCACTTTATTTTAATTTTTTTAAATGAATCACCATGAGATACAATTATAGACTTAGAAACTTTCGTGATTACTTTTCATACAGTGATCAAGTACTCATCCCTCCACCAGTACCCATTCTCTACCACCAATGTTCTCAGTATCCCTCCTGCCACCCCCACCTCTTCCACCCACTGCCTTGCTCCTGATTCCATGTTTAGAAATCACTAATGGCAGTGCTCAAGGGACCAACCATATGTAGTGCCAGGATCACACTGGGACCAGCTGTGTGCATGACAAGTGCCTTCCCCCTCTTACTATCTCTTTAGCCCTGCCTAGTGGTTTCCAATATATATATAATTTATGCTATGACACAAATCCCGCACGGCAGAGCCTGGTAAGCTCCCCGTGACGTATTCGACATGCCAAAAACAGTAACAAGAAGTCTCACAATGTAGACGTTACTGGTGCCCACTTGAGCAAATCAATGAACAATGGTAGGACAGTGCTACAGTGCTATGACACAAATTAAGAGCACTGCAAAGAGGGCCGTGAGGATATAAAAGAAGCCATAATGTTGTGGACTCGAGGGTGAGGCAGATTCTTGTGCTTGTGTTTCAGTTATACAATGATCAGATACCCATCCTTCCACCAGTGTCCATTTTCCATCACCACGGATCCAGTATCCCTCCCATTCCCCCATCCCTCCCATCCCACCCTGCCTTTGTGGCAGGGCATTCCCTTTTGTTCTCTCTCTCCTTTTGGGTGCTCTGGTTTGTGAAAGAGGCATTGAGTGGCAATCATGTTCAGTCTGTAGTCTACTTTCAGCATGCATCTCCCATCCTGGGAGAATCCTCCCAATACCCTTTATTTGGTGCTCCCTTCTCTCTCTGAGCTGCCTTTTCCCCTAGGATGTGCAGCTGGCCTCCAAACCATGGAGTAAACCTCCTGCTACTTATCTCGGCTATTCTTGGGTGTTAGTCTCCGAATTTGTTATTTTATGTTCCCCAGATGAATGCAATCTTTCTATGTCTGTCCATCTCTTTCTGACTTATTTCACTAATAAAAACTAAAAAAAAAAAAAAAAAAGGTGAGGCAGTGGGAAAAAATGTCATTTTTGGCCAGGGCCTTCAAGAATAAGTAGAAACTCAACAAGGAAAGTTTTAAAAGATAATTTTTCTAGTCTGAAGGACTACAAGCTATAGTCTAAATGCCAAATTTAGCTGAGACTATTATTATCATTAAAGTTTTATTGTAAGACAACCTGTTATTATATAAAGTTTTATTTTTAACTCATTCACACAAGTTAGTTTACATGTCAGTTTTGGTTGCTTTTTATTATAGTAATGAAGGTGAGTTAGTTTCACAGTGACTATATGGTTTGTAAAGCAAAAAAAATTTTATTAACTCCTAATCAACCCTAGTAATTTAATTTACATGATAAGACATTTACAGACTTCATATGGTAAAATTTGAAGTCATTGAGTGAACAATACTTAGTTGATTCTCTAAAGTGTTACGTTGGTTATAGAGACCATAAAATTTTGTGTTCATCCTTAGTAATGGAAGTAAGAATGATTTTCTTTTGTTTTCTAGATTGGAATTCACTACTCGTATATCAGAGAGCTCAGAAGAAATCATAGAAGAAGAATTCCAAGAGAGCATGGTTGAATTTGAGGATGGAAGCGTTAATAAAGAAGCTTTGCAAACACCGGAAACCCAGGCACACCTGGAGAAGCAAGCAGACGAGAAGGTATGAGGTCCTTAAGAAATCACCTGAGTGAAAATAAAGTCAGTTGTAACTTTCTTAATCGTGTATTAAGAAAAATGTAATATCTGTTTTAGAGAAAACTGCAACTGTTGCCCAAAAACATGCATCTTTTACTAAGATCAGGTATACCATTTTGGGGAGAGAATACAATTAAAAATTTCATTCTGTATTTCAAATGAGATTTATAAAATTTTATTTATATTGAAAAAGAAGAGTGGATTTTATTTTAGTAAGGTGACTTAGTTTATTTTAAAATTTAAAATAATAAATTATGCATAAATGACAAAGAATGTGATTGTTAAACCCTCATATTACTTTATAACATATTCATTATACTGGATTATTGGATTTAATTTATAAATTATTGATGACTATTGACAGTAGCCAGCGAACAATAAGACATTTAGTCTTACTGTTTTATTTATGAAAAGCAAACAAAATTGCACAATAATTTTAGGACATTCAATTTTAAATGCATTTACATTCCCTTGTCAAAAGTAGTATATGAAAATATTGGTGAGTGAAAAAAATCACAATTATCTAAACTCTTTACAAATTATTAAATACTTCTATTATCCTTCCCATGAAGGTTTTTTGTTTTGTTTTGTTTTGGGGTCCACACTGGATTTGAGTTTGTAAGGTTGATGGACTAGAGAGATAGTATAGGGGTTAAGGGCACTTGCCTTGTACCTTGGTTTGATTCCTAGGCATCACATATGTTCCCAGAGCACCACCAGGAGTGATCCCTGAGCACAGAGCCAGGAGTAAGCCCTGAGCACTGCAGGGTGTGACCCGACCTTCTTCCCACCAAAAAACTACTATTATGTTCTGTGTACTTAATGTGACCTATTTCATCTAACAATTCAATATGAACACATATTCTCCGGATCACTAGTGATACCTCCATTCAGTTCCAGTGACTTTTTTTTTTACCTATCTGGACTTGCTCTCCATTCTTCAAGATTGTTTCTATGGTCCCCTGGCTTTAGGTCACAGCCATCCTGGGTTCTTTGCATGTCTGTGAACTTTTGGTCTTATTTATTTTCTTGTCTCTTCTCCTTCCTGTCTTCTTACCTTTACTGTGGACATTCTAGAAGAGTTAGGTCTTTACTTTCTGCTCTCAATCCAAAATGCATCCAGTCTACAGGCCCAGCTTCCCTTTCTCTGCCAGTAGCCAGTAACTCCTGACTTCTGACCTCTGACCTCTTTGTCCAGCCTGTCTTCTTGGGTCTGAGCCTTCCTTGCGTTCTCAAATCTAAAGCAAGAGAACTGAATTTTTTCAGTTGCAGCTTAATTTCAGTTAAAAAATTAATTTTTAAAAGTGTTTGCTATATCTTTCTGATTTCTTTCCTTTCATTATTTATGAGTTTTATTATACGTCCCTTGGGAATGTAATCTTTTCAGTATACTGCATGGCCAGATTATAGGTCTCAGATCTCAGTATAACTTTGGTGGTAGGTAAGTGAAATGGATATTATATACATAGGTATGAAGCAAGACTCCTCAGATTCATGTAAACCAGTGATGAATCAACGCCATCTAAAATTTTTGCAAAACCGGGTTTTCACATACCTTTGAAATACCGTTTTTACATGATTTTTTGGGTTTTTTTTAAAAATTAATTCAGTTAATGAATCACAGTGAGATACAGTTACAAAGTTGTTCATGATTGGGTCTCAGTCATATAATGTTACAACACCCGTCCCTTTACATGGTTTTAGAGGTACCATGTTACCCTGACAAATCTGTTTCTGAGCACTTGAGTGACTAATTTTTCTGATTTTTATTTGGTAATAAAACAGTGATTACACGCTCTCTAATTATGAGACTGTCACTAGGAATAATTAGAACTATTAGATGTCACCTGTTGGGTTCCAGTACTCGCCCTTGGTTTTTGATTGTGTGCGCAATTTACACTCCCTTTGCAGCCATGTTAGAGAGCAGTTGGTGCTTCATGGGCCTGCGGGGGCCATCTGATCCCTCAGGCCAGCCGAGGTCTTGGGACCTGTCTAGGCCCGAGCTGTACCATGGCCCTTCACATTGCCACACTTCTTTCCTCTGCCCTATTCCTGTCCCAGAACCAACACTCATTCTCTCTCTCTCTCTCTCTCTGTCTCTCTCTCTCTGTCTCTCTCTCTCTCTCCCCTCGTCTCCTCTCCCACCCATTTCCCCCTTTTCTCACATATACAATTAAACATTAAATATAAGTCTTATGACTTGATAAGCTTTGGAAGCAGAGTTTCAGAAATTGAGGATATGTGCTATTAGGTTTCGTTTTCATATTTTATGTATTGTAAGGAGCAGGATTGTTCGGAGCTGACATGGGCTGAATGGAGCTCTCTTCTTTCATCCAGAAACTGGACCCAACTCAGCTTCTCAGAGAACTGTTAGACTTTCCTTTGCTTGGCAAGGTCAACTCTTCCCAGTGATTGCAAGTGTCAAACAGCTGATATTCCAGTTCTCTGAAGAGCTGACACCAAACCTAGGCTCTTTCTGGTGCCTTTTTACTCAGAAGGTTCCTTCCACGATGGTCCTATCAGAAAGAAGAACAAGAAGGGGGCAGCATCTCCTCACTGAGCCTTAGACCCACACTTTCTCTTCCATACTGCCCTGTTTCTCCAGGAGCTGACAGCTCTAGGGGCTTCTTAGGAATCCTTTTTTTTTTTTTGCCTGACCTGCCTTGCGAGGTCCTCCTTTCCCCCTGTAAGACTATTCCTTAACCTATGCTGTAGAACGTGGGTTGTGTCTTGAGTCCTGGTGCATGGCAAACAAGGACTGAGAATGATCCCACCTTGTTTGGACCACCTGGTAGTCTGTCGCTGTGTCCTGGTTGATTTTGTTCTTCTCTGATGATATAGGAGTCTGAGTTAGAACCTCTGAACGGTGAGGTGGTGGATGATACACTAAAGACTTCGCTTGTAACTGAAGAGGAAGACTCTGCTAGTGAAGTGTTAGAAGAGTTAAAATTGCAGTCTTTAAATTCCAATGAAGACTCCGCAAATCTTGTTCCCTCGGTGATAGAATCTGCAAAACCTCCTGAAGCTATTGCACAGGATAAGGTAAGGGGCGGGGGAAAACCACATTTTTTTGTAGTTGAAGAAGTCGGGGAAGATGGTACACATATCCCTATTCTTCCATCCCTCACCCCCCTTTAGCATGTATAGTCAGTCCTTCAGTGGGGGGAAAAATCTATTTTTGAGCCATTTAGGCTAGGCCCAGGGAGTCTGGGACCCACTCCCTGATATCAGGCCTGAGGACAGGATGCTTCTGGGGCCCAGTGGTTCCAGGGTACAACCAGGGCCACACCGGCTGTGCTCAAGGGCCTCCAGAGTATACTTGGGGGTGCTCAGATTGCCGTGTGGTGGCCAGGATTCAATTTAGGTCCTTGTATATGCCCCTGACCCAAGCTATGCCCCAGGCCTCTCTCATGAAAAATGTTCACAGTAATTTGATATCTTAAGAAAATTCATTTAGGCGCCAGAGAGATAGCACAGGGGTTAAGGTACTTGATTGTGCGTGGCTGACCCTGGTTTGATCCACAGTACTTCAGGACCCCTAAGTACTGCCAATTATAACACCTGAGGAAACAGCCAAGAGTAGCCCCTGGACACCACCAACTGTGCCTTAATATCCCCAAAAAAAGAAAAGAAAAAAAGAAAAAGAAAATGACAGAATGACTCAGTAAAATTCCATAAGCCTTCTTCAGTTGTCTGTCATATGTAGTAATAAAATGACGTTTACTTGGTAGAGTTAGGGGAAAGCTTAGAAAAAGTGGATAAAAATATCTATTTTCCAAACATTTAAATTCCTTATGCTTAGTATATAGCCAATATAGTAATTATATTTTGTTCTCAGTATACAGATTACTAGAGGGAAAATACTTTTTTTTTCTTTTTGGGTCACAGCCGGCGATGCTCAGGGGTTACTCCTGGCTCTGCACTTAGGAATCACTCCTGGCGGTGCTCAGGGGACCATATGGGATGTTGAGAATCGAACCTGGATTGGCTGCGTGCAAGGCAGACGCCCTACCCGCTGTGCTCTAGCCCCTTGTTTTCTTTTTTTAAATCAAAAATTTTTAAACATTACATTATAAGATTAAAAAAACTTTAGTTGGGCCAGAGCAATAGTACACTGGATAGGTCATTCACCTTTACACAGCCACCCCATGTTCCATCCCTGGTGCCCCAAGTTGTCCCCGAGGCCACCACAAGTGATCCCTGAGTACAGAACCAGGGAGTAAGTCCTGAGCACTGCTGTGTGAGGCCCAAAAGCAAAAATTATTATATAGTATCATATCAGTGTCATATGTAAATCAATCACATTTCTGTTGCCTCACATATCATGTAATGAAATACACAAACAGACTTAAGGGTGACACATTATCAGGTCCCAGGGAGTCCTGGCATTTGTCTCCAGTGACACCAAGAAACTAATAACTTTGAACTGATTCATGGTTTTTTTTTCTTTCTTTTTGGGTCACACCCGGCGATGCAAAGGGGGGTTACTCCTGGCTCTACACTCAGGAATTATCCCTGGTGGTGCTCAGGGGACCATATGGGATGCTAAGAATCGAACCCGGGTTGGCCGCATGCAAGGCAAACGCCCTACCCACTGTGCTATCACTCCAGCCCCCAATTCATGGTTTTAGAGAAACTTGATATGAATCTGAAGATGTCTTTAGCATGAAATATCATTCTTTTTTTTTCCATTTTTTATAATTTTATTTATTGAATCACCGTGAGAGCAGTTACAAAGCTTTTGGATCTAAGTCTCAGTCATACAATGAAACACCCGTAACCTTCACCAGTGCCCATTCTCCACCACCAAAAATCCCAGTATACCCCCATCCCACACCCTCCCCCTGCCTGTGGGGCAGATGATTTCTACATTACTCTCTCTCTACTTTGATCACATTCACTATTTCAACACCAGACCCACCATTATTTGAGATTTTACCCCAACACTCAGATCTGCTGAAAAGGCAACAATAGACAATTTGTGTTCTATTGCTGGTTATGAATAACATATGATGTCGTGTGGCTGCAGTAGGGCCATGTGGTTTTGAAATTCTGAAATTTTAACACTTAAATCTGGAGGGATTTCTGCCAAAAGCCACTGGGTTTAGAGATTTGCTCCTGAGTCTCTGGGATCATGGCCGTTGAGCAGCTTGATGAGGAGCCAAAGAGGCCATTCGTGGGCAATGACTTGGGGTCTCGTTAAGGTGGGGAGGACAGGCCCGGCTCCACCTCCCCCTCCCCGCCCCCCCCCATCCCATGAGACCCAACAAGTTCCGTCACTGCGGGCCCAAGCCTGACTGTCCAATGGCCTCTGGAGGATGACAGCCACCAAGTCGCCAAGAGGGAGCAGGCGGAGGGACAGCACCCATTTCCCCCTGGGGTGGCCCGGCGACAGTAACCTACTGCGGGGTCCGGACACATTTCTGACAAAAGCCGCTGGGTTTCGAGATTTCTTTCTGAGTCTCTGGGATCAAGGCCATTAAGCAGCTTGATGAGAAGCCAGAGAGGCCGTTCGTGGGCGATGACTTGGGGTCTCGTTGGGGTGGGGAGGACAGGCCCGGCTCCACCTCCCCCACCCCCCCCCCCCCCCATCCCGTGAGACCCAACAAGTTTCGTCACTGTGGGCCCAAGCCTGACTGTCCAATGGCCTCTGGAGGATGACAGCCACCAAGTTGCCAAGAGGGAGCAGGCGGAGGGACAGCACCCATTCCCCCCTGGGGTGGCCCAGCGACAGTAACCTACTGCGGGGTCCGGACACATTTCTGCCAAATGCCACTGGGTTTTGAGATTTGTTTCTGAGTCTCTGGGATCATGGCCGTTAAGCAGCTTGATCAGGAGCCAGAGAGGCCGTTCATGGGCGATGACTTGGGGTCTCGTTGGGGTGGGGAGGACAAGCCCGGCTCTACCCTCATCCCGTGAGGCCCTGTGTGTCTCGTCACTGGGGACCCAAATGTGACTATCCAGTGGCCTCAGACGGATGGCGGCCACTGGGCTGCCAGGGGGAACAGGCCAAGGCACGAAACCTATTCCCACCTGGGTTGGCCCAGCACCGGTAGCCTACTGCAGAGACCAGACATATTTCTACCTAAAGCCACTGGGTTCTGAGATTGTTTCTGAGTCTCTGGGATCATGTCCATTAAGCAGTTCGATCGGGAACCAAAGAGGCCTTGCCTCCAATTATATAGCTGAGCCGGAGGTGGTTTGTGGGTGTGTTTCCCACATACCTAACTTTTGGCCGTTTACTTTCTTGGTAAACTTTGCCCCAAGTTTTTGGGGTCTGGCCAAAGGCACACAGCAATTTTGGGGTATCTGGAAGTCTGAAGGCGCCATGAGGCTGCTGATGGAATTATCATTCTTATATCCTTTTAAAACAAGTATGTCATGTATCAGAAGCAGCAAGAGAGAATTTTTAAGAAATTGGGTTGTATTTGAAGTATGTACTCGAAGAACAGAAGTAATGAGTCAAGTTCTTTAGGTTGCACTTCACTGTTCTTGCCTGCTAATATCTTAGGGTAACTTATGTAAGAATCATTTTGCAATGGTTTTATTTGTTCACCAGGTTTCTTATTTTCAGGTTTCCCCTACAACTGGCTCAGAAACGTTGCTAGATGAAAACCTGTCCGAAGAAAAGGGACACAACGAAGAAAAAACGCCACTAGTCTCCAGAAAGAAAGTGCAATCGGGGGGTTCAGACAGCGTTGCTTCTGTCCCAAATGAAGAGCGAGCTGATGGTGGCCTTCCAAGCTCTGTCACAGCTGAATTTCCTGAGGAACCAGTCTCTGAAAACGTTGCCCTCAAGACCAGCTCCTCATTGGAAGACCAGGGTGAGGAGGCAGTGCCTGAGCCCCAGGAAACACCAGCTGCCCTTCCTCAGGGTTCTTTGATAGAGGTGGAACTTGAAGACGTGCCATTTTCACAGAGTGCGGGACAGAAGAGCCAGTCTGAGGAGCAGTCTGAAGCGTCTTCTGAGCAACTGGATCAGTTTGCACAGTCAGCAGAAAAAGTTGTGGATAGCAGCTCAGAGGAGATAGAAGTGGAAATACCTATAGTAGATAGGCGGAATTTAAGAAGAAAGGCGAAAGGACACAAAGGACCCGCTAAGAAGAAAGCCAAGCTGATCTGAGTGGGAAAACACACACGATAAATCTTTGTAACATAATTGTTGTTTTTAAAATATGGCAATTAATAAATAGCATGGGGCACAGGACAAAAAGTTCCAGAATTTCAATTGAACTTATTTATGATACAGTTTTCCTCTTCCCCTAGGACCTAGGAGTCACCATTCTTTTTTTTCAGGCTATTTTGTGTAAATACAATTTTTTAATTTTTATTAGCCATGTTTCAATTTTGGGAAACCAGATCATACTATATATTTTTTCTTCAGTAGATATATAACCATTGATATTTCAAAAAATAAAAATTTAATAAAACCATGGAGGTAATAGACTTTCCAATAATTATAGGGATCATTGAATTCTTTTATACTAAAGGTTTTAATAGTAAACTTGGTGAGGGTTCTAGATGTTTTATCTTAAATATCAAAATTAGTCACCTTTCTAAAATATGTAGACACGCCTAAGCAAAAAGTCAGGCAAGTGGAATAAATATAACTTTAATAAATGAGAGCACAGATTCAGAAATTTGTGGTCAAAGGTTCAGTGATGATACAGTAGATGGAGTTTCTTGCTTCAGCCTCATGTTGAAGGAATATGGACAAGTAAGCATAAAATCTATTTCCAATTCAATTTTTATGTGAACAAGTAAGCATACAATCTACTTCCAGCTCACTCTTTATTACATCTGAGAGTACTGCTAAGGATTTAATTCGGGCATGTAGGCATTGATAGGAAAAAATTGCATTTTCATTGAAAACTGTTGCTATCATTTTTTGGGGGGGATTTGGGTGTCTGTGTAATTACAGATATAAGCTTGAGGAGTATCCTTTTCTCCGTAATTAGGCGAACGTTACAGCTTCATAATACAGTTTAACTTGGTCTGTATGGTTTGTAATGGGAAAGATAAAACTGGGGCTTGCTGTGAACTTTCAGGTGTCTAAGACCTTTTCCTAAGGCTTGTCTTTGAAATTCTCACTGCCTTTTAGAATCTTCCAGCTTTAGATTCCATTCACTGCCTTAACTCATGGAAAGATTCCTATCAAAAGATCTGCCTACCTGCCAGCTTAAACCCTGACATCCATTTTTAGGGTAGGTTTGGAACTGTACTCCACCATGTGAGCAGAAATCAACCTGCTTCTAGGAGCTATAGTCATTAAATGTTTACATCAGAGAGGCTATAGTTGTCCCTTTGATCTTGTTCAGTCTTGACTGTTCTGGAAGAACTGGTTGGTTATAAGCTAGCCTGTGTCTGTGCATTGTTCTGCCTTAGTAAAGGCCTTTTTGCCTAAGGGGGGAAAACATTATTTTTTTTATAATAATTTACTTTAAAAATGGCTATTAGACTCCAAAGAGAACCTCAAATCAGAACTCCTCTTTGGAAGTATTATGTGTACTTAAATTTGCACTTATGTGGAGAATGCTTTGAGAGACCGTTGAGATTGTTTCAGAAACAGCTTGGTCCTTACATGGAAAAAAAAATGTGTTACGACTTTGTCTCATGATTTAAGGAGTTAAGGATTGATGTTGAAAGTTTATTATTTAGTCAGGTGATGTCGTTAAACTTGTGCATAGGAGAGGGATGGATGTTGGTAATTTAGAAACATCTAATTGGTTGAGTTATAAATCTTTAAGCAGGCAAAAAATAGCAGGCCCTCCTGTTCATGTAAAATTCTGAATACTTTTACTCCCTTGTATTTTCCTTATCACTCAGGCTATTTGGTTTAATATGAAAAGTGAAGCACTTTTACCATTTCCCCCCCAACAACTGCAATTAAGTGAAATAATGACTAAAACTAGTGTATCTAGCAAATGTTTGACTTTCTTTTCTACATTTGTGAGAAACTTAATTTCATAATTGAAGAGATAGAGCAAGCTTTAGTAAGTCTTCGCCATTCCATTTTTAATTTCCTGAAATTGGAAAAAAATCCTAAAATTTATTCACTATTTACTTGAATAGGTCTCTTTAAAAAATTTCTTAAAAAGGTGAAGTTTAAGAATGAACTCACAATTCCTCATGCATGAAGACAGTTGTTGAGTTTATGAGAGAAATGTTCAGTTATTCATATATGTGTGATAACCAAGGACAAACAATATAAAGTCATACCGTTAGACTTTTTTGGCTTGTTTTTTAGCCCTTTCAGAACTTATTGTTCAACACATAACCTTTAGTCAGGTGTTCTGACAGAAAATGCTACCTTGGAGTTTATAATAGTAAAGAAAAAGGTTGCATGAAGGACCATAATTTTCATCTTTAATGAGTTCCTTACTCAGTATATAGAAAATTTGTAAAACAAAATTCACCTCAAAAAGGAATCTAAAATTTAATCAGTGTGTACAGTATTAGAGAAATTTTCAGAACTCAAATCTGACTTCCACCAGCTCACCTATGTGTTGAATGTCTAGTCACATTCTATCCTTTGTGAACTGCCTTTTTTGAAGTCTGTGGAGAAAGTTTAGTTTATGTATATAGTATTTTTTTCCCGTGTGTGTAATATAAAGCAGTTATTAGGAAACTTTTAGTTCCTTTAAAAAAGGAACTAAATGTTTCTCTTGATTATTCAATTCTTAGATATCACAGCAACAAATATATTTAAGAATTTATTATTAAAAGCTCCTCTACAGCTTTTAAAGTGGGAGATCTAATAATTTTTAAAACAAAATCAAATAGAATGCCATTTGTCTCCTTAAAATGTGTCTCAAGGGGCTGAAGGGATAGTACCGTGGGCAAGGCGGTTGCCTTGCATGCTGCTGAACAAGGTTCAATCTCTGGCACCACATACCACCTCCTGAGCAACTCCAGGAGTGATCCCTGAGCACAGAGCCAGAAGCCCTGAGCACTGCTGGATGTGACCTCCGCCTAAAGCAAAAATGTCTACTCGTGGCATTTCTGTTAAGTGCAGAAAATTATCAAGGCAAAGAAATTACTAATAATGTTTAACTTTTAACTACCTGAAATGATTCTAGACAAGTATCTTGGAAGTTTTTGATTAATTCAAATTGAGTCTTTAAGTTTCTGCTCTTATGTATCTGCTTCACCCTTGGGAATTACCTTCTAAGGTTTGGTCACACCAGCAAACTGAAACATCTTAATGTAAATAAAGGATTGCTACCAACATTACTCATCTGTATCACAGTATTTTAGAAATTTTTGCTCTTTATGTCCATTAGAGCAACATGGTGTTTTAAGGCGTTACCCAGATTTTCCTGAGTGTGATTACAAGTGTGCTCCCAGTTGCGTGCTTTCTCTGTACAAAACAGTAATTTACTTCATTTTTGGTCTTAAGAAAATAAGCAAACTTCAGTTCTGTAGTGTATCCAGTGCTTTAGTCCACTCTTTTAACCTTTAGAAATTTAAGTCAACCACACATTTCAATTAGAGCAGAATCATTTGGTAAAATCTCATTGTAACAATGGTCTGCTGTCATCCTGAATTGTATCATACTGGATTGTCATTTCGAAGGAACTAGCTTTTCTTAAGTGTCTCTGTGTTTTAAAACTTCTGTTTATAGAACTTAGGAAAGATGTTACCGTATTCAGAAAAGCGAGTTTTACTGAGGTAATTATTTGTTTTCTTATTTTTTTTCTTTTGAGTTTAAAAGTAGCCATTAAACCTATATTTTGTGATTGTTTCCTGGTATGTGTTTTGAAATTTTTTTCTTTTCCCTGAATTTCATGGATGAAGATATGTTTAGATACTAAGTTTGTCTAGATAATGAATAACTGTAAAAGCACAATCACACTGGTTTCAATTCACTTAAAAATTTTAAACACTACAATTATAGATGTGTAATATCAGAAACTATAAAATTCAGTCATAAATATATACATAATTCAGAAAAGTACTTTGACAACTGACAATTCTAAAAGAATTACATCTACTTAATATTATACAAGTTATTGCAAGTAAATTTCTTTTTAAAAGCTTCAGCAGTCTTTCATTAAAAATGAAACTTGTAAAAAAACTTGTATTTGAACAATTTTTGTGGGGGCGGGGAGTTTGGCCTCCCCAGGTGGTGCTCAGCCTGTTCCTCCCTGTGCTCTGGAGTGACCTCTGGTGGTATTTATGTGGTCTGTGGTGTTGTGTTTATGTGGTTACATGGTGGACTAGAGCCACAGTTGCAGCCACCGTAGTCACATGGAAGGCAAGTGCCTTGCCTCCTGTATTAGCTCTCCAGCTCCTTAAACTAATTTTACCATTCAAAAATTACAAATATATGTCACTCTTTAAAATGGAGAAAAGCGTAACCATTTTGGGACAGAGCTATACATTTGTTGTTGCAGTGTCATGAATCAAATTCTGAGCAAGGCATACATTTCATAGTCAGCCACTTTCTGGCCCCTATTTGGGTTTTTCTTTTTTGAAGTTCCAAGTAGAAAATATTATTCCAACTAGGTATTATATATGTCACAAATGAGAGGGGGGGAAAACCAATAGGAGTACCTGACGTTCTATCAAGAAATGAAGATGAAATGATTCAAATTCTCCCGAAATCCCGTGCCTGGTATGGTAAGAACTTTATGATATAAAATGATACTTTGTGATGCTGTAATTATTAAAATTAATGTTTAGCAATGAGGTGGCAACCTCGGGACAAACCCATATTTATGTTGTGGTTTTTTTTGTTTTGTTTTGTTTTGCTTTTTGGGTCATACCTGGCGATGCACAGGCGTTACTCCTGGCTCTGCAGTCAGGAATTACCCCTAGCGGTGGGATGTTGGGAATCAAACCCGGGTTGGCCATGTGCAAGGCAAACGCCCTACCCACTGTGCTATTGCTCCAGCCCCAACAAACCAATTTTTAAACTAAACATAATCTTTACAAAAAGGTAATTAAGTACACTGGCTTTACAGTAATGACAGATCTGCATTGCTGAGTATCCACTCGTGAATGTAGACTGATGAAGCAGACAATTTCTGTAAATTGCATTTAGAATCACTCTGTCTTAGGAACTACGCTAAGCAAACCCAAAACAAAGATAACTTTAAGACAACTAGGCCTAGGCCACTTTAATGTTTTGTGCAGTATCATATGCTTTTTTTCCTTTGATGACTGCAGATATCAGCTTGGCCGTGGTCACCGGTGGATTCCCTGACTGAGATGTAGTCTTCGTGAGTATAAGGAGTTACTTGTATAAGCAGCTGTCAAACCAGTAAGACTGCATTGATGCACCCATCATTTTCAGGATTATTGGTAACCTGGGCATATTTTCCTGAGGAGAACAAAACAAAATGGAAAAAATGGGAGAGAGATTAGATAATACAAAATATCTTCTAAGAATTATCATCTTGGCCTAAATTATCACCCTATTAGGGGAAAAATGAGGGATAGGAGAAAATATGATTTTACAAAACTACTCAAGACCAAACCAGCTCTGATCATTTTTATTTTTTCCTTTAGTTTTTGTTTTCTGGGATAAACTAGCGGTGGTCATGGATGTGCATGCTTGGTGCTCTGAAAACTATGCATGTTGGGCATCAAACCCAGTCCCCCACCCCCCATCATATGTAATGCATGTGCTCAGCCTGCTGCACTTTCTCTGACCCCTCAAATTTTATTTTTGTATATTGTTTTTACCAATTGTCATCTTTAGAGCACTATACAAAAAGTACATTTGTGGATATACCTGTATTGCTTATTTTCCCCATAAATTCTAACTAGAAAATGCATCAATTTTTCCTAGAGGCTAAGGGATATACTCTGGGAGGTGCACAGGAGGGAATCATGTGGTGCCTGGCATCAAAGCCAGGCTCCCACAAGCAATGCGCATGCCCTAGTCCTTTGCTCCCCAAATCCATCATTTTAAATGAGTTTCAAGTCAGTAAACTGTTCTTAAATTGAGATTAGTCAATATAAAGTAGGAGGATACCCATTAAAACGATAGGTGTGTTCTTTTTTTTGCGTTTTGGGTCACACCCAGCAATGCTCAGGGGTTTTCCCTGGCAGTACTAGGGGACCATATGGGATGCCGGGGATCAAAGCCGGGTCAGCCGCATGCAAGGCAAATGCCCTGCCCAGTGTACTATTTCTCTGGCCACTGTTCTTCCCTTTCAAAGAATATTAAAAATTCAGAGGTTCTCTTTATAAAACTAATAGCAATGCACTAACAGAAAACTAAAGAGAACAGAACATAAAATTGTGACATAATTTCAGTTTCAGTCATTAAAATAACATGACTAATGTTTCATATATGCATCGTTTACCACACCCCATTCATAGTTCAAATTTTCTTCCAGTATTTTTATCTTCAACTATAACTTCAAGTTAACTTTAATTCTTTATCTTTTCCTCTCATAATATGCCTTAATAAAAGCACTAAAATCTAGCTATAGGGCTGGAGTGATAGTACAGCTGGTAGGGCGTTTGCTTTGCACATGGCTGACCCAACCAAGTGCAAGCCATGGCTTCCCACATGGTCCCCCGAGCACCACCAGGAGTGATCCCTGGTGTTCCGTCAGGAGATCCAGGAGTCCGTCATGAGCATCACCCAGTGCAAAAAAAAAAAAAAAATTCTAGCTATAACTGAAACATGCTAAAATTAAAGAGCACTAGTTTTTCTACCAAAAAAATCCTTCCTATAGATTTCAATCAGATTTATAATTAAGTATTCAACATTCGTAACTAAATTTATTGTGTACTTTCTATCAACTTGAAAGGCATTTTCCTATTAGGACTGTAAATTACTAGCAGCCTTCTAGAACAAATTTACTTACCCCAAATAACTTTGCCTCCCTGTGTGACAAGGCCCAACTCGCTGACGTTCACCTCGATGACAGTACCTTTGGTGATAACACCCAGAGTAGTATAGAGTGGAGATGAGGGATTCTTCTTTACACCAAGTATTGACAAGCAAAAAGTGGCTTTCAGGTCAGGATGTGTTACATGGGCTTTTTTGAAACGTAAACCCTAGTAAGTAGAACAATGTTTAGAGTCCAAAATAGTATACATTTTGAGTAATAATACATTTTTACTTATCATTTCCAGGTATTTTGAAGAAACAAGGGATAAACGTTAAATCTAAAATGGCAAATAAAATACAGCTAATTCTGTTAAGCCTCAAAACCTGAGTTATGGAATAAGTATCTGGGGGAAATAAAACCAAGCATGTCTTTCTGAGAAGTTTGTGCTAGCAGGTTTAATACTTTGATTTGTCCAGTTATTACTCTGAATGCTATGACATCCCTTTTAGACATGATAATCTTTCAAAGCTCCCCGTGGCATATTCGATAAGCCAAAAACAGTAACAAGAAGTCTCACAATGAAGACATTACTGGTGCCTGCTTGAGCAAATCGATGAACAACGGGATGGCAGTGCTACAGTGACAGTGCTAATCTTTCAAAACCCTGTTTGATTTTTACTCTGCAGTAGAAGAGGCAACTTCAATCTGAAGTTAATCAAGTTCTATCACTTCAGTTACTTTAAAAAACTTGGCTTCACTCAATTCTGCAACATCCCGTAGAGTTAGTGATCAAGTTTGTACATATCCTGTATTTGTTAAAATGATAAAACAGGGTCCAGCAGGCTAATGAGTTATTCCCAAATTAAGTGGTATGAATGAAATCAAAGTGAATATTTCTAAGTCTATACTTCCATGACGGGGACAGATGGTCAGCTCTGTTTTAATAGTACTTTAATTACAAAAGATTGCTTTGTAATTTTATAAGATACAAAAGAAGTTTCTACATTGTAAAAAGACTGTAACACTGATCACAGATTAGAAAGAACCGAGAGGTCTCTGTGATAGAAATCAGAGTCACCCAGTCACCCAGAAGCAGTGTTTGGTGTTTCTTAATTCTTACTGGGAGTGAGGGTCGAATGATATGCCAGGTTCCTAGTAACAGGCTCATTAATCAGGCTTGTAATCTTTCAGAATCCGATTAACAATTTCACTAGTACATTATCTCTCTGTAGAACTATAAGGCTACTAAATGTATTCAAAACAAACTTTAATTAAAAAAAAACAGGGCCCATTAAAGTAAAAAATGTGTAAACACCAGAAAATAAATGTTTTTGCAGTTCATGTGGTCTCCGCTGAAACTAAATTCTGCAGGAAAAAATATGCTATGCGAATGAAGAGGCATGGCTTATTTCAAAAGCACTTCATAGAAACAAGCTACTTCACATTTTCAGATGAAAATACTTAATGGAGAACTGGAATAACACTGCAAGCTTCCTCTGGATTATTTTTCTCAGCAGACTAATATCCACTTGGAAGAGTATCCTATTCTCTTTCTCTGTTTTGTTTCGGGGTCACCTAGCAATGCTTAGGGGTTACTCCTGTCTCTGAACTCAGGAATTATTCCTGGCAGTGTTCAGGGAACAATTTGGGACGCGGGGGATGGAACCCAGACTGCCCAAGTGCAAGGCAAATGCTCTATCTGTTGCACTATCACTCTGGCCCAGGAAAAGCATTCAAGCCTCTTTAAAGGGTTATTGCAAATAAACATTTTCAAATATTTGGTTTTCTGACCACTACTGCTATTCACAGAAATTAATGTCCTCTTTTTATTCTTTGATGATTGCTGCATACTGAATATTTCCTAACACATTATGATACTACTAACTTTACTGAGCTGGAATTTAGCGTTTTTTTAAACTTGTTTGTTTTTTCAGCCATACCTGGGGTACTCCCAGCTGTGTGCTGGGGCATGCTTCTGGTCATGCTCAGGAAACCACAGTGCCAGGGGATCAAACCCTGGGCCTCCAGCATGCACTCAGCCATCTCTCTAGCCTTAGAATTGATTCCTACAATTGCTCCTGCCCAAATTTTCTGATGGTTCTTAAAGATAACAGGTTTCAGGCATATACTGGATAACTTGCTGAATAATTAATTGGAAAATTAAGTACAATGTCATGTTTGCAAGTCAAGATTAACAATGTATGTTAGCAAATTCTTTGTCATTTCAGATCTCTTAAGTTGAAGGATACTTGATGGCAGTAGAAAACTGGAAGCAATTTTTACAAGTATTTAAAATAACAAAAATAGCCTAAAAAACGCCTTCAACCTGTTTTTGTGGTATCTTCGCAACCAGAACTTATAACTCTACTGAGTCTCACAACTTGGAGCTGACACTTGAGCAGCCATACTTTTGCAAGGGATTTACCATTGGTCTAATGAATCTTTCATATTTAGGTGGTTTTCGTGTAAAGCCATCTCCAACAAAGCAGACTTTAGTAACCATCCTCTTCCATGCTTTCTTCTTTCTCTTTCCTGTTCGAATAACTTTTAATACTTCTGTTTCTCCCTGGGCACGAACTTTGGGTAGAGGAACTTCCCATTTTCCCTAAAAAAGATCGCAGTTAAAATGAATATTGTTAGTAAATGATATGGGAATAGCATCAATATGTTCATTTGTATAAAGTAGTAGACTCACCTTCTTCCTTAACTACTCAAGTTTTTGGCCCAACTGTTTTCTAGAACCCAACACCTCATAAGCCCAAAAGTACCTGCAACTAGTTAAGTTCATGTTGTACCTGGAGAAACTTCACACTATTGTTATGGGCAAAAACTATTACCATAGTAGACCTTTCCCCCTAAGCAATGTACATGCTTACTACTAAAGAGTTTTTTGGGTTTTATTTTTGCTTTTTTGGGTCATATCAAGCGATGCTCAGGGGTTACTCCTGGCTCAACACTCAGGAATTATTTCTGGCAGTACTCGGGGGACTATGGGATGCCAAGAATTGAACCCGGTCCAGCTGATAATACAGTGAATAAAGGCAAACACTTTATTCACTGTATTATCTCTCCAGCCCCATTACTAAAGAATTAATAGTTAAAACTCAGAGTGTCTCCATAGTTTTTTTTTTCTAGGAGTTTGGGGGGGGGGGGGACCCACAGGGCAGGCCAGCTGGGACTGAGAGGAGGGTGTGGGGCAACCATACCCAGCAATGCTCAGGCTCACCCCTGGCAATGCTGAGAGTGGATGGTATATGGTGCCGGCAATGGAAGAGAGGTTAGCAATGAACAAGGCTAATGTCTTAACCTCTGTACTATCTCTCTGGTCCCTAATAAAGATTTGTTCTGCCATCCTGAATGGATTTTCAAATAATACCAATTGTAAAAAAGAAAGAATTAAAGGTGTTCGGTGTCTTTCTATAATGTAAAAATAGTAGCAGTGCAAGGCAGCAGAAAGAATTCTGGACTCATCCCTAAGACTCAGGTTCTAGAAACAACTCCACAATTTCACAGATATGTAACTAACCATGAACTATGACTTGACGCCTCATGGATTCGACTCTTTATCACTACGAGTGGCTAAGCAACCAATCCCTAAAATTTCTTTGAATGTCTTACCATTCTGATTGAGTAGTTATCACTCCATATTCCTAGGAAATGGGGGAAACTAGAGGGTTTTAAAAAAACATCTGGAAACTACTATAGCACTGTCCTCCCCTTGTTCATCGATTTGCTCAAGTGGGCACCAGTAATGTCTCCATTGTGAGACTTGTTACTGTTTTTTGGCATATCGATTACATCACGGGTAGCTTGCCAGGCTTTGCTTGTGCGGGCGGGATACTCTTGGTAGCTTGCCGGGCTCACCAAGAGGGGTGGAAAAATTGAACCCGGGTCAGCCGGGTACAAGGCAAACGCCCTACCCCGCTGTGCTATCGCTCCAGCCCATCTGGAAACTACAAGTTCTTTAAGTATACCACACATTATGCTATTTGGATTTGTCAGTCTATCCACAAGTGTGTGGGTTTTGTGGTTTGTTTGTTTTTTTTTTTTTGCCCCAATAGTGCCCATGTGTTTCTGTTTTGAGAAACTAGATCTACATTAGAATTAACCTAATTTGACACCAAGTGCTGAGGGTTTTGTTTGTTTAAATCAAAACACTTAGAATGTTTTTCAGTATTCAATTTTTAGCCAGTTCTGGCACTGTAGGGCAGCAAAAGAACTGTTGTATCTTCATTACATAAGCTATGAAGCACAGCCCCATAAGTTCTCAAATATGGGGAGCTGTTAAAATTATTGAATTTGAAATTCATTTGTTATTTTTGGTTTTCTTGAAATATTCTAATAAAATATTCTGGTGATGAAACAGCAAATTTTAAATTTATTTTATATTAAATGAAACTTACAAAGACATCTAAGTAATGGATATAACAATAACAGCCAACTTCAACAAAAGAAAATATAAAGACGTCAAAATCTAAATGTAAGTAATTTTCCTAAAAAGAGAACAACAACTTCAATTTTATTACTTACTGCTTTCTCTTTTCGTTTCTGTTTAATCATATTGGAAAGTACTTTAGCTCGGGATTGTCTCTCTCTGTCCAGCAGATACTCAGGCATTGCTCCTTGTGGAGTCTTTTCATCATTCTTTTGCTTGGTGTTTCTCTTTTCATGCATCTTAATACTACCAAAAAGGGAGAAAATATTAGGATGACTTAGTAACAATTACTTTAAAATGTTAATTCATTATAAAGAATAAGACAGGGTTACTTACGTCTTTTTCATTTGTATTTTCTCAGCATGGCGCTGTTTATGGTAAAGCTTAGCCTTCAAACCAATCATCTTTTTTGCTTTCTTTGAACGTTCGTGAGCCTCTCGACCTTCTTTCTTTCTCTTCTTCTCATGGTAATCCAAACGATACCCATAGCGCTTACGGTGTAACTCAATATATTCATTCTGTGGCTATAATGAGACAAGAAATTTTATGATTGTTAAAATTAGTAAGTTATTCTAAAATAACTTTTCTAGTAGTACTTACAGAAAACCCTGCATCATCTAAATGTCCCCTTGCTTAAACATTGTTTGCACTATAAAAAAAAAAATCTAGTCACATGGTATACATTAAATTTTAATTGTGGATCATATGAGGATCTAGGGTTTATATTTGTAGTAACCTCAATGAAAATTGTTCATTCAAGGGGACTTTAATATAATCCAATCCACTTGACCACAAAAGGTATGATATGGTTACCAAATAATCTTTTTTTTCCTGGATATCAGAACCACCTAAGTAGGTTATACTAGTGGTCTTAAACCATCAGGTCATGGACCATTGCTGGTATGTAGGTGGAGAAAAGTTGAGACTCACTGGTCTACTGCCTTGGTTCTAACTGCTGATTGGTACGCAGAGATGCAGGCCAGGGACTGGTCTGCAGGAGTGAAAGGTTGAAAATGCTGGGTTATATCATACATTGTAGGCACCGTGTGGTCTATACCCATGTCTCAACCTTTTCACAACTGTGGATGTCCTTCCGACCTTGTTTCCTTCCTGTAGCCCTCCTGTCTACCAGCTGGCCTCCTACTCTCATGATGTTGGCCACCATTTATTCAATTTTTCACCAGTGCCGCCACCTGGAATATCCTGGGGGCCACAGGTGACCGTATGATCCCGGATTGCAAAACGTTGGTCTACACCACCACGATTTTGCCTTTACCATTCTCAATCACATGCAGACAGCTCCATTCTCTATCTGCAAGGCACGAAGGAGTAATAAAACATGTCTTAGGACGTACTCTTCTCCTTAAGCCACGTAGGGCTATCGATACCGTAATGTAGACAGGCAGGTCTAGGTTTTGGGAAACGATTCGGTTCTAAAACGCCTGAAATTATGAGGGATTATTTTCGCTCTCCCAGAAAGCTCTCTCCTTGGCCAATCTGAAGTCAACCCTTGCCTCCTACCTAATTCGTTACTCCTTTCTACAGTTTCCCCTTTTCTCAGAATGAAAAGTAAACTTAGCGAATGATGCGCAGCCTCAGAAGGCTCTTGCGATTCGGCTGCGGCGTACATCAGCACTTAGATCTTTTCTTCTTTTTTATTTATTTATTTATTTATTGAATCACTGTGGGAAAGGTTACAAAGCTTTCAGGTTTAGGTCTCAGTCATGCAAATATCAAACACATTTCCCTTTACCAATACTTATTTTTTACCATGAAGAACCCCAATAAAACCCCACCCCCCCACCCCTCCCAGTCCCTGTGAGGCAGATGAATTCTAGTTAACACTCTAAGCACTTAGATCTTTTCCCTCGAATACGTTTTACTGGATAATCCACCATCGTTCTCCTCCTGTGACCACCTACCGCAGATACACCATTCGTTTATCCGCGGGCTGGTCGATGACAATGAGCAGAAGCATCTGCCAGATGCAGGGCACAAGCCGGCTCTGCGAGTCACCAACAGCGCCGTCTGACCGGTGCCCAAGCTTGCCTTCGGTTTCTCCATTATTAAAGACGGAGTAACGGGAATGAAGAATGCCTGGGCTTAAAAATCTGCCTTCTACACCCCTGTGCTCTGGGAAAGCCCTCACTGTTGCGAAGCCAAGTTCCACTCACCCCACGCACAGAACCCGATGGAGGCAGGAGGTGCGTCCAGCCTCGTTCCCTCCAACTTCCGCCTCCTCCTCCTCCAGCATCCCCAGACCACCCCAAACGCTACACGCTCCAGGGACCGGTGCCCAAGGCAAACTCCTCACCATGGTGGCGGCGTCAGGGCCGCCTCGAGCAGCCGCCCGGACGTCAAGAAGTTCGGGACTTGTCGGCGCTCAGGAGACTCGCCAGCAACACGCACGCAGCGGCCGGCAGGAAAGGGTGGCCTCCTCACGGGCCGGGTGCAAGAGGGAGCTGAATGCATTGGTTCCGGGCCCGTTTCGCGGGGTTTCATGTTCGGAGCGGAAGTTGCCGGCAGGCGACATTTGACTGACGGACCGCCGGAAGTAGTTTGCCACGGCGCTCCGGAAGCGGCCCAGCGAGCTCACTGCGGGTCCATGCCTGGCGTAGGAGGGCTCGCGGCTAAGCAGTGCTCCAGACTCGGGGGCGTCTCTGCAGATTTGAGGTGCCGGCTTGCACCGCGCAGCCGCCGCGTACGCTGGTCCCCACTATTTGCAGAACAGTCGCCGACCTTTTTGCATGCAGGTACCGACCAGCCGGCCCTCAGTGCCCTGTCCCGCCGCGTCCTCCCTCTCAAGAACTTGGATCTATGAGCCTCGTCCTTGTGTCTTCCTGGAGCGTGAAACTTGCAAACTGCTCGCTTGGAAAGGATGCGGAAGACCGCAAACTTAAAACCGTAGAAAGTAGAAAAGGACGCTGTCAGACCGAGTCCTGTTTCCCCAGACATAATTTCTGAAATCCCCGAGGTGTTTTGATGCTCTGGGCACAGTGTAGAGTGCATCCGTGTTTAGTGGTCAGCAGGGCCCTGCAGGACGTCATTGCCTTACGTGCGGGCAAGTACTAGTTGGGAGAGACCTTGGATGGTTTCAACTCCGTTTACAGCAGTGCCTTAACTGTCCCGTGGTTTGGAATGGCATCATTCCCGTTTTGAGTAGATACGTTGACGTGTTTTGCTTAGTGAGATGGATGTTAAGTGTCGTCACTTTCGGAGATTTTTAATAGGTTTCCTTGATGAACGCATCACTGTTTTTGAATTTATAAATTTTTTAGAGTTACTGCAGTCTCGGAGCTGGATTAATAGCACAACGGGTAGGGTGTTTGCCTTGCACGTGGCCCACCCGGGTTCAATTCCTCCGTCCTTCTCAGAGAGCCTGGCAAGCTCCCCATGATGTATTCGATATGCCAAAACAGTAACAAGTCTCACAATTTGTTGTGAGACGTTACTGGTGCCCGCTGGAGCAAATCGATGAACAACGGGAGGACAGTGCTGCAGTGCTACTGCAATCTCGGAAGTTTTATCGTTATAAGCAATGGTCATGTCTTGATTTCTGTAAAATAGAGGGAGCAAACTGGCAGTGTTTTATCATTTGTCTTAGATCGCAGCTGTGATTTCGGATTTTAAAATGATGAAACATAAATGTCAGCAAAAACCTATCTTAAAATACTCTGGCTGTAGTTAGACTGGGTATTATCACTACTGTGTTGTGTCTGCCAAAGTTATATACTAGATCATCTGGTGGTATGTTTTTGTGATTTCAGTTTGTCTTTTTCTGCACTTTTGCATCTTTCTCTAAAGATACTGAGAAAAGCATTTCTCCTGCACAGAGTTTTCTTTTTCTGAAGGATGTATTGAGTTTCTATAGCACTGTCCTGCCGTTTTTCATCGATTTGCTCGAAGGGGCACCAGTACCGTCACAATTGCGAGACTTCTTATTACTGTTTTTGGCATATCAAATACACCGGTAACTTGCCACGCTTTGCTGTGGGGGCGGGGTACTCTTGGTAGCTTGCCAGGCTCTCAGAGAAGGGTGGAGGAATGGAACCCCTGTCGGCCTCGTGCAAGGCAACAGCCCTACCGGCTGTGCTATTGCTCCAGCGTTGAGTTTCTAATAGTTAAGAATTTTTTTCTTTTTTTCTTCTTTTTTTTTTGCTTTTTGGGGTCACACCCAGTGATGCTCAGGGGTTACTCCTGGCTCATGCACTCAGGAATCACTCCTGGCGGTGCTCGGGGACCATATGGGATGCTGGGAATCGAACCTGTGTTGGCCATGTTGGCTGCGTGCAAGGCAAACGCCCTACCCGCTGTGCTATCGCTCCAGCCCCAAGAATATTTTTAAGGTCCTTTTTAACATAATACGTAGGCCTTAATGTCTTACATGTAATATCTGGCATAGATTTACAGTTTTTCTGTTTCTTTTTCAGAGACTCAAAGTTTAGAAGGCCAGGATGTTCAACTCAAGGGTACTTGCTGTGAATCATAAGAAAATATCCAGTATGCACTTTAATGTAAGCTTTCCTTCTAATGTGAACTCCAACAACTTAAGTGACTTCCCAAATGCCTAGTTTCTTATTAGAACATATGAAGTAATCTTAACCAAGAAAAAGCACGCCTTCTTGGTTTTTAAAAAAAATGTGTGGGTTCATTTTTACTTTAAAATCATCTTTGTAGCACTTTGAAGAATCTCCCATCCCTTGGAGTTAGTTTTCTTCAGAGTTTCAATTGCTGACACTTTCATACTATCTGTCCTGAAAGTTGGAAACTGCCCTAGTCATTGTGCATAGGAAATTTAGGTAGCTATGAATTCTCTTCTCTTGAATTTTTCCTTTGGGATAATGGTATTTTAATGCCAGAAACTTGGTAATACAGAAAAACAAAACAAAACCTAGAAAACCCAGGCATGCATTTAACTGGTATCATAAAAGACAGTGCAGTAGCCCCAGACCATTATAAACATTAGGTGTATATTTGAGTATACTGGAAGCCATCATTGTTTGGTGGTTTAGAGATTAATTGGGATGGACAATATTCAGCTTCTGTGTGGGAACATAGAAGAAGGCGCCTGGGGAACATTTTCCTCACTCTCCCTTTATTGTTTTTGCAGTGACTGGGAGGTCACACACTCTCTAGACTGTGGGGTGAAGGGGTGGGGTGCTGGGAGTTGTGCAATTTAGATAAGGTGATGGGACACAAGTGCTGGCGGGGGTTGTGCTTTTGTATGCTCTGCTTGTTGGTGCTCACGTGTTGTGTTTCCCAGGAGCAGGGGCTGTGCTGCATGCAATGTGATGGTGCCGGGGTCAAACTCTGGCTTTTAGGGCTCAGTACCCCGTCTGGAGGATTGAGGATTTTAGCTTTTTTTTCTTTCTCTGGTCCATTGAGCCACATCCACAGCCCCTTCTTGAGGACCTTTTAAGAAAATGTCCCAACTTCACTTCCCCGACTTGATGTGCTTAAAAAGCATTCTAGTGGAGTTCATGCACAATTCAATCAGCCTAATCAGTGGCTGACTAAATAGCAATACTTGTACATTTAAAAAAAAAAAAGCTTTTTAGGTAATTCTACATAACCACTGTTAATGCTGCCCCCGGCAAGCCCCTCGCTCCTCTTGGTTGTAGATGTGAACCAGTGAGTATTGAGTATTCAGGTAAGAAACCATGTATGACCATCTTAATTCTCTACAAACTTGAGGATCAAGATTCTCAAAGTATAGCTGTTAAAGATTCACCTGGCAGGCTTTGTTAAACACAGGTCATTTGGCCTTATCCCCAGTCTTAAAGGTTCTCTTGTCTGAAATGGGTCTTGAGAATGTGTCTTTCAAAGAGGTATGCAAAATAACATTAATGTCATGTCTTTCTCTCCTCACTAGAATATGTGTTTGATTAAAATAAAAGCAAGTTTAAAAAGATTGAAACTACATGTGCCTCTTGAAAGAAATTACAGTTCCCTACCAGGTACAGATTCTCAATTTTTAAAAATCTGCTTGCTTTGGAAACTAGTGCTTAGCAACTTTACCTGTTTCGCTTGTTTGTTTTGCTCTGGGGGCCACCTCCAGCTACGCTTCGGGCTTACTCCTGGCTTTGTGCTCGTGAGTCACTTCTGTTGGTCCTAGGGGAACCAAGTGCAGTGCCAGGTTTCAACCAGGTGTCGACTGTGTGCAAGGCAAGCACCTTAACCTTTTACTCTCTCTTCAGTGCCTTTTTCTGGTTTTCTCATTTGTCACCCTTTCGTAAGTGACTGCATAGGAAAATTAATTACAAAGGAGAGGTTATTTTAGCTTGGGTTTTATTTTAATTGGAATTAAAGAATTTGCTTTAAGTTATCTTGGTTTTGTTGATTTGTAATTAAAGGAAAATTTCTTATTTTAAAGTTTAATTTTTATTATGTTTACTAGGAAATGATACCAAATCACTTCATTCTATCATCAGTCCTCCTATAGATAAGTAAGTTCTTTCATTGTTCTGTTTTCATAGCATTGTTAGTGAATGCTTTAATTTCTGGGATTTTTTTGCCCCAACTAATTACAAATAGATGTTGGTATGTATCTTAAAAGATAATTTTTAGCATTGTTGGTGAATATTTTAATTTCTATGGTTTTTTGCCCTGATTATAATGTGACTTTTTTTTTTTTTTGCTTTTTGGGTCACACCCGGCGATGCTCAGGGGTTACTCCTGGCTCATGCACTCAGGAATTACTCCTGGCGGTGCTCAGGGGACCATATGGGATGCTGGGAATCGAACCTGGGTCTGCCATGTTGGCTGTGTGCAAGGCAAATGCCCTACCCGCTGTGCTATCGCTCCAGCCCCCACAATGTGTCATTATTTTTAAAGATAATTTTTTTCTCAGTTCAGTGCTGAAATTTTGTAAAACAGCAACAAAACACGCTTCAGAGAAATGTCAGATAAGTTGTTAAATCTTTGATTATTAGCTTTTTAGACAGAATAATGTTGTAGGGATAATGTTTGTTTTTCTGGTTTTTACAAATTATTAAATATTTATACTAATATATTTATAAAATTACTAAAATATTATCCAGCTTTGAAATTTGCACAGAATAGCTAATTTTGGTAATGTCACCTTATAATATGTTTTTTTTCTTTTCAAACAGAATTCGTAATATTGGAATCATGGCTCATATTGATGCAGGCAAAACTACCACCACAGAAAGAATTTTGTACTATTCTGGATACACAAGATCACTGGGAGGTTAGAATGGATTTTTTCTCTCCCCAAGCCCCCATTAGTAATACGATGAGTGGGAAATATTTGATTAGGAAGACAACCTAGAGCTCTAGAGTGTGGCATGGAGGCCCCGATGTCTAAATTACAGCTTAAAGATAAGAGGTAGTTGTGACACTTACCAGAGGGTCTGTGGTTCCTCTGGACTCGGGTTCACAGAACCATGTTAGTCAAAGTGGCTCTGGC